CGTTAAGTGAGGCCTGATGGGATTTTAGCGAGCTGAGAGGTGGAAAGAAGCAGTATGGAGACGTGCTGGCACCTGAGCCTGGAGTGAACTCTTCCTGCAGATTTAAACTTCCCGTTGTGACACTCCTGCAGGGCAGGCGGCTTCAATTATCGGAGACCAGAATGTAGCTCAGACCTTTGCACGCTTCAACTGCTGCATTTATACCCCTTATTAATTAATACTCTAAAACATGACGTACCTTCAGATGCATAAGACAGCTTATGTAAGATAATGAAATCAAAGTCTTCGCTTATGTAAATGCAAAAAAAAAAACGAGTGATAAATTACATCTGAATCAGACATTGTGAGGAGACGGATTTCGTAGGAAAAAGACAGGAGAGGTGTCAGAGAAACTGCTGTGACCTGCAGCACATTAGTTTGGGTGTCAGCAGTTTGATTGTAATTAAACACCGAACCGCCGCCCTACTTTTGCCCAACTTTGGCAGTCGAGCACATTATCCTCGCTCCGTCGGGTTGAAGGACGTGATTAATGACATCGACGTGCGAGGCTGAGAGAAAAGTCTATGTCATCTTTTGTATTGTTTTTTTTTAATTCTCCGTGTGTGAGGCGGCTTTTATTTTTCCCCCGATGGCATCATCTCTGCTGTGATTTATGCAACACACCCATGTGTGTCTTTCACAAGATAAAGGGGCGGAGTCTTGAAAAGGAAGAGATGGAAATATTGTAGTTACACAATCTGTTAAAAAGGGATTTTAAGAGTGTTTGTCCTCACTCCTAAATACTTCTTCTTTTAAAATAAAGAGCCACTTTTGGCGGTGAGGCTCATAAAGAAACTGTATTAAATCGTCTTTGCAGCTCAAACTAATGTTTAATAAGATACTTTTACCTTTAGTGTAAGTGATGAATAAAGTTCACTCCAAATCTGCAGATAAGAGTTTGGTTTTCTCTGGTGCTTTTGTGGCGTCCTTGTTGTTCCAGCTCTTATTAGTTATGCTGTTTGAGTCTGAAGTTTTTGTGAGAGTCCCACCAGCTTCTGCCCGTCCTACTTTATTGTCTTTCTCAATATTGTGTTTATTTTCTCTTATTATATTGTCAGAGCGACGTCTTCTCTCCCTGAGGAGCCGCCTTTTGTTTGTTTTATAGGATTTTTTTTTTTGTCCTATTTTCGTCATAAGTGAATTTTACTATTATCGACATAATAAGCTGAGTTTGGACTGTTCCAATTTTACTCTGATGAAGCTTTTGTTTAATTTCCTGGGAAGATACGACAAGACAAACTTTCATCCCAATTACTTTAAACTTGAAAAATCTACATTTAATCCCCTGATTATGAATCATGTGCAAAGACACACTTAAGTAGACAAATATATATGTTCTTATTACATAATGTTTTAGGTTTTCCATGTTTGATGAAGCATTTAATGATCTTTTAGGGATTTTTGGTTCAGAATTTTATCTAATATCTTCTTAAATTTCATATTGATGCCTTTTAAAGATAACCGAAAGCAAACAAGACCATCAGCGAGAAGAATGACTATTTTCTAAAAGCCCTATTTTTACATTTTTCTCTTTATTTTACAGAGAAAAATCTACATTTTTGAGGAAGTAATGGACAATATAAGCAAAGACTGCTGTGTCCAGAGGGGGTGCTCAAACAGAAACAAACCAAAAATTCCCCTCTGGAGCTTTAATGGCAGAAAATATCTGGTTGAACAATTTGCAAATGAGTAGGTTTTTTAAGTAGCAGGAATGGACATTTTTGCCACACGGTCAACAGGCAGAGGTGAAATAAGATGGAGTTCTTTTAACAGAACAGGTCAGGAAAAAAATCAGTCAATCAAACTTTATTTTTAAAGCACTTTTCATACATGGAATGTAGGACAAAGGGCTCTCCATTCGTGCAGGATATAAAAAAAAAAACAATGAAATAAAATAAATACAAATATACCAAACCCCATTCAACACATACAGGACTCACATGCTCACACACACAGATGCAAACACAAAAAAACAGATGAGGACTCTTCAACTTGCCACATATGACTGAGGAAACACTATCTTGAGTTAAAAGAAATGAGGAAACACTGGCTCTAGGACTAAAACGATGAAACCATGATAAAATATAATAAAGGTGATAAAGCTTTAAAAGTTTATTGAATAAAAGTCTTAAAATCTAACAATAAAAAAGAGTAAATAAAAAAGAGATAATAAAACACAAAATAGTTACTCTAGGACTAAAATAGGGTAAAATCACATACTGCAGATTAAAAGATTAATATAAAATTCAACTAAAAGCCAGACTAAAAAGGTAGGTCTTTAGTCTACTTTTAAAAATATGAACAGTAGGTGTCGCTCTCAGGTCTGCAGGTCGGCTGTTCCACAGATGGGGACCGTAATTTTGGAATAATGGTTCACCATATGATTTTGTTTTTACTTTGGGGACAATTTAGAAGACCGCCACCTGAAGACCTGAGGGCTTTACTAGTTTCATGCATTAAAAGCAAATCAGAAAACTAGAAGGACCAAGACCATTAAGAGCTTTAAAAACTAATAAAAGAACCTTAAAATCTACTCTGAAAGACACAGGTAACCAATGCAGAGATTTTAAAATTGGTGTGATGTGTAATTTTTCATCTAAAATATCAATAAAAGGAAACATGAGGTTGCATATCGTCTACAACAACGAAAAAAGTTCTTGTTTCGCCCCACAAGAGAAACATGTAACACACTTTTTCATCTGATGGGAAATGAGAGCGACTTGGCTGCTTTCTGCATAATTAAGAGATCAAACTCATTTGTAATCTTAATTTCTCACAACACGAGAGACAGAATGACTGCACGGAAAAACATGACACACTTAGATGTACAGTCTGCTTGTTACTTATTAAAGTCCATAATTTCTCTGTGAAGAAAAACAACAGCACACGGAGGACAAAACAAGGACACTCTGCCAAGAAGAGCAGTTTTTGGGAGACATAAATTTTGGCGTTTCATCAGTGGAGGCAGCCATTTTTCTTTTTTTTGTTGTTGTTGCCCATGGCCTTGTTTGTTTTGTTTTAGTTATTATTTATTGATGCAGGATTTCATCAGGAACCAAGGGCAGCTGATGCTCTTGAATTGATAAACCTGATCAACTTCTTAAAACTCATAATGAATGAACAGAAATCTGCTTCAAACAACAAACCAAAGCTGAGCCCATTCAGCTTGTTTTGAGATTTCACCAACAAAACCTCATCCCTCACTCGGTTTGACATTATTGATGCGCAGAATCTGCTCATAAACTAGAAAACTCAGCCTCCACGCAGACAGGAGTCCCCACATTTGGCCTCCCACTCTGCGTCAATAAAGCTGGAGGAAGTCTGCGTGTAGAGACGGCGCATTTGAGTGTCCAAAACCGAATGAGAATCCTCCTTCAGGGTGGACTTTGAATAATCAACACTGTTACTGCAACAGTCATGATTTCAGACCCCAGCGTTGTGTAATTGTCTGCTCCCAAATGATAGAGATTAGGGATTGTGTAGGCAGCCTGTAGAGTTGAAGACAAAAGACACAGAGCTGTCCTTTCTGTCACACAAAAGTGAAATCACCTCAATAACTTGCTCCCTCTCTCTCCTCCTTTGAAGCAGGCCTCTATAAATAACTCCCCTATGGTGTTACACGCAGAGAAAACCGAGCTAACAGTGCCCTCTATGTGCGGGATGAAGCTTTGTGCATGCAAATGTGCACACAGTCATGCAAAAATGTCCAAGACATACATTAAATGAACACAATCAGGCACGTCTCGGAGATTTTGAGCTGCGGCAGGACTTCACGGCTTGAATTTGGATCGCTGAAACTTCCTCCCTTTTTCCAGAGCATCTGAGGTAAAATTCAGAGGGAGAGCATCACGTCACCGCTGCCCTCTTTAAGTGCAGTGTCATCACAAGTTAAGTGGGAGGGCAGTCCAGATCAAAGCAGAAAAGCAGATCTTCACTGTCTGACTCCATCGCCGCTAAAGCCAGAGAAACCCCGACACAACCTCAGAACCATTTCCCCCTTCTGGACTCATTATTCCCTCCAGCGCCGGATGATGCCTCGCACAGCAGTCACGCTTGTGTAACCCGAATCAAAGCGCTCCGTTTGAAGACGTGTTTGGTTAATCAGTCCATTACAGAGCTATAAAAACCCCAATTAGATGGAAAAATCTGGAATCTGTGTCCAAATCCCAGCTGATTTTCTGCAGACCGAGTGTGCAGAGGCAGAGTTTGTCGCTGACACACTGAATGAATCCACATTCAAATTGAACAGAGCTGTGTTAATTCACTCAAACATCCACATAGAAATAAAGAAGCCTGGTGAGAAGAAAGGGCTCTGGAATAACAGCTCGTAAGCAAAAAATGATGTTATTTGCACATTTGTAAATCAAATTCATGAACGGTATCTTGTTAAAACATTAAGAACTTGGTGTTTCAAACAAGAGAGATAGTAAAGACGGTGAAACATGAGGAAATATAAGAAGGCTAAATCTTTTGAGAGCCTCCACAGGAACTGAGTCACATTTTTAACAGAGATGTTCAGGCATCTCTTAAACTCTCACTGGTTTTCTCAGAAGTGACATGTCAGTCGGTGGCCAATAGCTGACCACAATGTTGAAGTCAAAATAATGTTTCATCCGACTGAGTGTTTCTGGAGTATGAAAGAGGATTAGGCCAACAAGAAGAGAAAAAAATAATAACAGGAGGGAGATTTTCTTCACTTTTATTTTCAGGATTAAAGTTAAAATTTCAAAGTCAAAGTTGAGTTTGAAAAACCTTGAAGTTTTGACTTTATTCATGTCGACTTTAATCTCAAAATTTTTATTTTTTATGTTTTCATTGACTTTTATTCGCTTAATTTCAATATATTAATCTTGAAATTATGACTTAAATCTGAAGATTTCGATTTTTAATGTTTTTATTGACTTTTATTCACTTAATTTTGATATTTTAATCTTGAAATTTCAACTTAAATCTCCTTCCTGTAATTATTTTTTTTCACTTCATCCTCATTCATACTGGAAAGCCAATGGAACTTTTTTTTTCTCTCTGTATTTACCACTGGAACATCTTGGAATTGATTGATCAGAGTTTGTTCGACTAAATCTCATCAGAATTTTTAAGATTTTATCCAAAAATTAACCTGGCGTGACTCAAAAACAGAAGTAAACAAAGACCTGTACCATTTTACAAACAGCTCCTGAACTTCTTCTCGGCAGTAAACAGATAGCTGACAAACTAATGAAGCATTTTGCAGCAGAATAAATAGATGGATACATTTATCAAAATATCACAAAGGAGAGTTTAACCCAAGATACTGTCATATCAATGATTTACCAGTCAGAGGCGTGATTCCAGTGTTGCTCATTCTACTAGAATTGCAAATTAAGAGCTGTTTGCGAACACATGATGCTCATGCATTTAGAGTCTCTTGCACCATCCCTGGAGCCGTTTTTAAAAATCAATTATTGCACCAAGGGCAGATATCTTCATTAAATGCTGTCTCCTCTCCCTTTTCGTTTAAAAAATTCAACTCAAATGAAAGGAGAGCGCGGCGCATTTTATCATTTAGCTCCAGCATCAGTTTCGTACTCAAGAGCGAGTCATTTCTAGTAAAAATTAGACTCCTGCGCCTCTCAGATCAGGATAATGATCATCTTTTTAAGTGTCTCCCTGAAACCGAGCTACACTGAAATCCAGTCGCTGAGTGGCAGAACAAACAGCCACTTCTATCCTCTACAACCTGGTGCTGCAGCAGACAGATGTGCTGATATGCCATCTATAGCCGCAGGCCGTTTCTGACTTCTAAAGGCTTCCGCTGTCAAAGTGGGGCGCCTGGGAGCGCATGACACAAAAGTTAAATGAAGGTTAAATGGAAGCACTTCAAAGTGGGAGATCTCCACAGAAAAATAACGGAGGAAAGGTTAATGTGTGTCTTGTTGAGACACCAGAGCAGCTTGTAGCTTTTGGGCATGACGGTTTGAGGTCCAGTTCGGGTCAGAACGCCCGTGGGCCGCCGTTTATTGGTTTCATTCATGCTATCAATGAGCGCAGCACCGTTAAAGGCTTTAAACTGATGCTTGGAGAGCAGTTTAACTCTGAGGTAGATGTCCTTGCTACATATACTGTAATACTGCAGGCAGAAAATAGCTATTTGGATATCAGGGAGTGGAAATCTTCCTCTCCTTGTGTCTTAGATTCATGCCAGTGGTTCCAGTTTTGAAGTATTTGATTGTCAAGGAAATATGAACGTTTGAAATCTGACGATGGGGGCTGCCATATTAAAGGGATATTCCGGCGTAAAATTATTTTATCAGTCAAACACACTGTAACACCCCCTCAAGAGATGAATGTTGCCAACCACTTGCTTCTCTAGTTATACCGACTTTAGTAACGACCGCAGGATAGCAATACACAGCGGTCTGAGGAGACATAAACAAACCTCAACCAAAACGCCACTCTATAGCCACAAATAATGCTCAGAACAGCACCTAACTTCATCAACAGTACATATAGAGTCCTAGCCATAGTACTAGCCTCCAAACATCTTTTTAACTTTGCCTGATTTCTTTAGCAAAGAGACTAAACACAACTCACCCACTCTCTTCCAGCAGCCGTTTGTTTGTAGTGAGACTTTGGCTTAGTCCATCATTGACTGCAGCAGGGTGACACAGCTCAAGGAAGAACATTTATGATCATTTCTTTATCATTTCCTTGAAGTAATAATCGTCATATTAATATCTAACTCTGTGTTACGGTGTGTTTGACCCTAAATTGATTTACGCCGGAATATCCCTTTAAGAAATGCTGACTCAACATAATTTTTCGTCAACCATGCCACAGTCAATGCGTCTCATGGTTAACTCAGCCTCACCCTTGTTATGCCAAGTTTGTGGCCTTACATCTTGAGAATAAATGGGCATTTTCACATGGGTGTTAAAGGGGTCGCCCCCTGTGGACACTCTTGGAACTGCAGGTTTTTGCGCTTTTATTTCGATTTTATTTCTCAACACCCAATGTTGCTGCTCGGTGTCTGCCAGCTCATGTTTATTCAGAGTGCAGAACTTATAATAAATCAGATGGAAATTAATTAAAAATGCACAGCCCTAATGTGCATTCAGCCAGTTTTAAAAAAAGGGATACTGAAAGAGAAACAAGTACACAGATGTAGGGAAATTGCACATTACAATTATGCCCACATCTCCACTGGGTCCCTTACATCCCTGCAGTATTTAATCTATTATCACAACATTGTTAGTGAAGCATTCTTGGCCTATATGCTAACTTGATAGCTGATGCCAACCTGCGGGACTCAAAGGCAGCCGACCTGAAACTCTGCAGCTTCACAGGGAATACAGTTTGACTCTGTTTTGAAGGTCAACTCCTTCTGCATTCGAGCCCCAACAGGTCCCCCCCTGGGGTCCCGGGTCCTGGTGAAACGCCTATCACAGGAAACCGGAGAGGCGTATTGTTCTCTCCTCTGCTGCTGACCCTCACCGCCCCATTAAAACGTAGCCCCAAACACTGCCTGAGGGTCTCCAGCCATCACCGGCACATGCAGCGATGTTAAAGCTCTGCATACTAATGAAAAAGAGGGGGGAGGGGTTCAGCGGTCCGGGGTTTGCATCTCTAAAGTATGTGTTGTGGTTGGTTGCCAGGCAGAAATACTCATGATTTATTGTGAGGGGTTTGGTGTGGGTGGAGGGCTTTGTTGTAAAATATTTAGAGTGTCAGAGAAATAATGGAGAAGGATCAGAAACAGGGTCAGATTTCAAAAGTAGTCATATTAGAGTAGAAAAAAAACTTATTTTTTAGGTCAAATACAACTTTAGTTATCCTTTTGGAAAGGTTCCCTCAAAGAAATTAAAAAATATTACAGAATATTTTATATTACAGAACCACAAACATTAAAATAAAGGGTAGAGAAATATATGAACATAAAATAATAATTTAAAAAAAAGATAGCTTTGTTTTTTTCTGTCTGGAAATTATTCAAAATCTTTTTTAAAAGTGTTTCATGTAATGCTGTAAACCTTAGAAAGATTCAACTGTTGATATATCTGTAAAACCAATTTTATACTGTAAGTAATCAAGTGATTTCTATTGATACGGCCTGATTGAATTAAATCTATAAGTGGTTGGTATCTATCTATCTATCTATCTATCTATCTATCTATCTATCTATCTATCTATCTATCTATCTATCTATCTATCTATCTACCTATCTACCTACCCATCATATCATATCGTATCATATATTGTATCGTATCATGTCACGTATCATATTATTGTCTGTCAGCTGCAGAGCAGAGAGTTGTTTTGTTTGAAACTTTATTTTTCCTGTTTTTCTTCGAAACCAGATGTTTCATTATGACAAATTAAGAGATAAATATCAAAATTATGTTTCAATCAAACTTTTCACTGTGACTTTGTTTGCACACCCACACTTATAATACAGTCAGCTATTGTTAATTTAACTGACTTGTTAAAATCAGAAGTGGCCCTTAATGAGGAGTGGAAGGAGCCAACTGAGCCAGCTGTTATTTCTGAGACGGGCCAAAATTATCTGGCGAGATTCCCGTCGCTGTAGAGGACGGTCTATGTCTGTATCTGAAACTGAAGGACAGGGATGACTGAACGTCTGCTGTGAAATATTGGTTTGCTGTCGGGGTGTGCTTATCTTCTTTTAAAGATTAAATGGATAACAACATTATCTTTTGAGGAGTGAGTGGTTTAAATGTGTGAATAGCATTAAAAGTTAATTAAGTTGAAATTACCATAATTTGTCTGTCCTTAGCATGTAACTCATATTTACAGAATATAAGACCGGCCATGGATTTTTCTACTTTTTATGCACTCTTATCTTGTGATAAAGACTTATCTTGTTATCTCAACATAAATCATTTTCCCGTGATAATGAATTAATTGATAATGTGTCCGCCATTGTTGCTGTTGATGTCCAATTAGCGCATGGCAGTTAACTAGTCCCACGCATAGACTGTATATAGAATGGACAGAGTCTGCCTCCTCGCTGGGTGAAGCCACTCCGAGAACAGCACCCTCTGGTGACGGGCTGCAGTATAGGTCATTAATCCCGCCTCCGCCAGCAAAGCTAATGGAGCTGTGGACAAACATAAATTTTTGTCCCCCCTGGTTGTGATGTTGACATGAAGTTACAGTAAGACTGGTTTGTGCTCAAGTTCTCTTTTTTCTGTGAAGCTCCGTTTTTAAAAGTTATTAGGGGTTTCATGTTTTTGATGATTGACAGCTGATACAGCCTATGGGCGTTCAGGGATTGCGTAGCTCACCCGAGGGGATACGCTGTTTGAGCCGAGCGTCATCACAGTGACTCTCGGCGACTGTGCGGCATTGCTACTGCGCAGCGCTGGTCTATGGTCCCACGCTGAAAGTGAAACGCACATGTGCAAAACGGAGCGCGCCGTTAGCATTTTTATTGAAAGCTTCAGCTTGCTATTGACAACGATGGCTGCAGCGTTTCACAATATCCAAATCTGGAGGGCGGTTTTAAAAGTTACCGTTCAAGGTCACCCAAAAACGCTTTACCCTTACCACGAGAAAACGATCTTTGTTATGTCGATGTTCTCTACATATTTTCCCCCTTTTCTCTTTGATTTTTCATTCTTATTAAACATCCATAAACACACACACACACACTATAGACATTTTCAAGGATATTATTTAGTCAAACCAAACCAAGCAGATACATGTGGTGGATACATACTTTATTTATTTCACTACTGTGATAGATGATAACATTCTGTTAGAATTACAAAAAACATAACTCAGATTTCTATACCCGTGTGGTACTTTTCCTCACTCTGTCATGGCGACTGCAGAGGTAGTGGAAGGAGTGACACGCTGAATAATAACGCCAGAATACAGAAGAGTTTTGCCCTGATGAGAAAGCACACAGCAAGTCTGCTACTGGAAGGAGATAACGGACCGAGTTCACCGCCGAGTCCAAACGTGTGAACACAACTGTCCCCAAAGTAGAGGTAATAGCATCCTTCACTTTGTGTAATAAATCCTATCAACACAATATGCAGCAAAATTGAATCATTAATAAATAATTAGACTCTGGAAAAACAGAGTGTGTTTGCCTAAACGAGTTAATAATGTCAAAAAAGGACTTACATTTTAATGATGAGCAACAGAAGGCTATTATCAACATAAAACGACAGATTGAAGTGACTTGTAAACAAGAGTGCATATCAGCAAAGACAGAGATTCAGGGTTTAGACTGTGTTCACAGAAACCTGTTTGATAGATAGTTAGTTAGTATAGCACAGTAAGGCACAGTTAGCACAACAGCTAGAGTCCTTCAGCCTCCCAGTAGCAAACCACTTTGTATACAATCAACACCAATACATGCCGATACTTTTGAACAATCAATGTGAAAAACAAAGAAATAAACAAAAGATCGCTATTAAAGTATTTCTTCCTTCTTAAGAAATCAAGCTTTTCAAGAGGGGGTTTGATTGTAACAAGTCAAATAATAAACTTTAATGCAACTTTTAAAAAAAAAAGGGAAATTCCACCAAAGTAAAAATGCATCCAGGGCACGCAACCAAAACAAAATTTCAACTCTACATGTCTTCGCACCACGACTTTTCCGTGAACTCTACCCTGTGACTCACCCTATTTCTGCCTCATAATTCAAACTATTATTGTTAGGAAATACAATCTGCAGTTCGTGAATAAGTGCTCTTCCATAAAAGCTAAAAACAACATTTGAACATTTACTTCACAACAACACGATCCCACGGAGAACTATGGGGCAAGTCTTCCAGAGTCTTACAGTCTTAACTTTCTGTATATTTATACCACACATAAGGAAAAATAATCTATAATTACAGCTAACAAAACCAGATTCAGCCTCTCTTTACCGATAACCAACACTCTAATATTGCCTTTTTTAATAGCAGATATGTGCGCATACAAAAATAAAACAAGAGCAGAAAAAATAGTTCTTATTCAGTTTTACATTTCTCTTAAATTTGGTCGTAAGCAAAACCTCAAAATAAACCTCTGTGTCCACATCAATTCCACGCATGTGAAGAAAGCAACACAAAGTGAAGCAATAATATTGGTAAGGCTATTGGTGCAAGTTGAATCCCGTTAATTATCTTACTTGGATTAAATCAAAAATGGTTTCACTTTTGTTCTTTGCATCAACAACACGAACAGAAAATACATAAAATAGAAATGTATTGCTCAAAATTGACATATAACATCATGATTTTGCAACAAAAATACCAAAAAAAAGGTCTTACAGTCATGTGGGTAGAGTCCAGATACCCTGTACTAGTTTAATTTGCAGTGATGAAATGATAGGAGCCCCCTTGATAATTAAGCAACTTGATTTTAGAGGCCAGGACATCAAACTCGAGAAACATGGCACTCTAAATAAATCTCACAGATGTTGGAGGAAAATAAAAAGCTATTTTCTTTATAAACAGAAAAAAATTACAAGTTTCAATGCAATCATATTCCCTTTTATTCCACTTAACCCTCGGATTGTACGCTGACATTTGTTCTGTTTGTTTGCTCCAACATATAAATACAAAAAAAGTGTTTTCAAGCTGATAATTCCCCCACAATTACAGATGCATCACCCGCGGAGCCATGACCGGTCATTTCAAAAGAGAAAAGAGAAAGAGAAGCTTGGCTTCCTTTAACGTTTGGTCTTGTTGGTTTTCAACCAGTAGGGGGCAGTGTTATTTGGCTGAAAGTGATTGCACAGCAGTCTATCTCCTTCATTGAGAGGGAGATCATGTACAAGTAAGTGTAGAGACATCAGATCTCAGTCAATGAACGCTTTCTTAAGATGATGTGTAAGGAGGACACGCTTTCATTTCCATTCATGAAAGTTATTACTGTTGTCTGACAGCTACAACTGAGATAAAAGAACAGTCTGTGATAGAAAAACTACAGTTTGACAGTGGCCTGCTGGTGGACTAAGCTAATGCTGAACAGCTTTACAAACAACCCACAGATAACCTGGGGCTGCGGTCAAAACGAGCCGATAGACAAAGTCCAGTCAGAGCAGTTTCTGTGAAAGAGATCAAGTGTTTAGACTATGAAGAGAAGTGTGCAAATCTTTCCATCTAATATGATTTATGATAAATTATATATTCTGAACTATGTTCCTCTGATACCCTGAGACTTCATTCAGCCAAACACAGCCACAGCGTTTCCCTCCGGTTTCATCACAAACCGGAGGAGGAGTGTTTGGTTGAAACGAGTCGTAGATGAGGAGAGCCACTGCTACACACCTGGACGTCCGTTTACCCGACCGCAAATACACATCAAACTACTTAAAGCACAAAAACAAGACAGTAACGTTTTTTGTTGTTTTTTGTTCATGATTGCTTTTACAAATGTTGTTGAAATGCGTTTGGCTTCTTTAGAACATCTGAGACAGGACACCGTGTGATTGGAGCTTGAGACCGGAGCCTCGGGTTTTGTGAAGAGCACTGAAGAGCACGACGGGATGACATTTACAACAACTCAAACGTGGAATGGATAGATTATCGACGAATATAGACATCTACAGCAACAGTTCGACTGCTACATGATGGATTAGTCAAGTACATTAGTTAGCACACAACACGACTGTGAATACAATTAGACTTGATTAGCATTCAGTGATTAGTAACATCAGTAGTATGTTGTTAGTGGAATAGATAACAGTGACACTACACAACAATACTTAATCTCATAGCTTTAACGTTTCATTTTCACATTCAGACATGTTAGGAGACAAATGGAGTGGATTGCACTGATTTCTTGTGAGTTTTAAAATTAGTCACACAGACTATGAGCATCATATAATACCACCAAGTATTCACTGTACAACTCCCCTGCATTCTTTACATTACATTTAAGGCAATGCATCACTGATGGACTGTCCCAGTGGTTCAAGAAATACTATATTTCCCTGTATATCTATGTTATAATATGAGAGGTTATATTGCTCATGGGCTCTGTTTGCAGAAAAAAACGCTTTTCTGCAGATGGTTTTGGTCATTAATACCTTATTAAGGCCCACAGAGGAAATTACATTCAACCGTAATTAAATCTATTGAATTGCAGCAATTTTAGTGAGATGTTCAGGGTGATGTATGGTCGTTTCTTTTAGTGCAGCAGTAATATGGAATACTAGACAGCTAACAGGAAGCATTTTATGACTTGATCGAAAGTTTTAAAGTGGGACATTGTGCAGGTTTTACTACACGGCGTAACGGTGCTCAGGAGGGCAGCATAATACGCGGGCGCCAGCGTCGCCAGCTGTGAGCACATCTGTTCTTTATTTCTGAGAGTGGGGATTTGAGGACACCCTATTGCCTTATAACACAAGTGCAATTAGGATCTTGCTTTCTTGTTCCACACTTGGCACCGCATGGATAGACCATTCTTCGGCGCACTGGGATCGCCGCCTCTCCATTCACATTGCGAGCAACACAATCGACATGTCACCAGGGTTTTCACGGAGTCTTTTTAGACTCAACAGTTGTTGCCATCAAGCAAGGTGTCAACTCCTTCTTGGTCTGATTTCACAAACGTATGCTGTGCCATGAGCAGTCGCTTTTATTCTTAATTACTCGCAGTGTGGATGTACGGTATGAGATCGACACCGGCTGTTATCACCCTGTCATTGCTTCGTCTCATTTATATTTTAGAAATATTTTATTTTGGATCGAGTTTGCTGGTGCTGTTGGAACAGTGGTAACACACTGATGCTGCATTCACGTCATATCGGAAGACAGAAGGAAGAAAGGAATGGCTACATCTTGGAATATTCTGAATTTCTGAAACAGTGATAACACGGGTCAGCTATGACCGACTGCGGCAGAAAATACTTCTCTTAAGCAGAAATGATTGTCTGGCTGTGAACACCTCTGGATTTGCTACCATGCTAACTCGCTGTCGACACAACTTTGGAGTTTGTACATTCAGCACTTCTGGATCTGAAATCCTACATTCTGGCTTTAACTGCCTCTGGATGTCATGAGGGTTATTGTCTGTCAGTTGCAGTCTTGTATTTACACTTAATCCGATATGAGGTGAACGAACGTGGCAAATAAAAGGAAACACAGTTAGTACTAGACTCCACTACATTTTCTGACTTATAGCCTCCTCACATGCATACATAATGTTACACTTTTTCCTTTTGCTTAATATTTTGCTATCATGGTCAAAGGCGACGCTCTTTGACAAACAGACGTAACACCTCAGAGCTTCTGACAACGTAATTGTTGCTTTGGCAGTTGGTTTTAAAGAAGTGCAGAGGACCCCAAATAGAGCCTTGTGGAACACCCAGAGGCCCCTCTTGGCTTGGAGCTCAGTTTGATCATAGTGGAGGGAGATGCGCGTTTGCCGCTGAGGTGAAGGTGAGCTGTTGGCAGAGCAGAAGGATCTAGATGTTGGTTTCCCGCTGCATAGGTTGCTCATCTTTTTCATTTTTGTCATCCAGCTCCTCCTGCGCCTGCGCTTCCCCGTCAGCCTCTTTTTGATTTTTAAGCTGGTCTGGATCTTCTGTCTCAGTCCGTTTGTACATTTCTGCACACTTGCGCTCACGTTCCAAAAGTCTGTAGTTGATAAAGTTCCCGATGAAGAGCCAAATACTTGCGAGGATCACCACGGCTCCGCAGCAGAAATACATGTACTTGTAGTTCTTTGTGATATCGACCAGTTTCCCTGCAAAACAGCAGAAAGTTTAGAAAGTGAGGTATTTATCTTCCACATACGAGTTTGTATGTACCCACTTCTGACAGCATATCCTCTCCTACAAATATAGAACAAAATAAGAGTGTACTTTTAGACAAATACAACATACCTGCAAGAGGTGGACCAAGAAGGACGGGGCAGCATTCCACAATGGTCGTGAGACCAACAGCGCTGGAGAATCTCTGAGCCCCGACCAGGTCCATCAGTGTTTCAAACAACACTGAGCTGACCATGCCAAAGGCAAAGCCAAAGAACATGGAATACACGACCAGACCCGTGTAGCTTTCCACTAGTGGACATAGGATGTGGCACACTCCATTGTACAGCACCGCAAAGCTGAAGAAGTACTGGATTCTGGGTCGAATCCAGCGTGAGTTGGCAAGTAACCCCATGGAAGGCCTTGCAAACATGTCAACAAAAGCGAGAATCGATAGCAGGAAGGCAGCTGAATACTCGTCCACACCCATGTCCTTGGCATAGGCTGCAAGGAAGACAATCGGGGCGAAGAAGCCCAGAAACATGATGACGTTGCCTGACAGGTAAATGAGGAAGCCGCGATGCTTGAAGAGTGTCAAGTCCAAGTACTTGTTGACGATTTTCCAGGCGGTCTGTTTCTCTTTTGTGGTGGTCATCGCAACTAACTCTTCATCTTTCTTGAGCTTGCTGGGCGGAGGTCCCAGAGGTCTCATGAGTGATCCGGCCACACAGCAGTTCAGTAGTAGACCACCCAGAATGAGGAAGCTGCCTCTCCAGCCAAAGTTGTTAAAGAGGTACTGGTTGAGCGGAGCAAGGGTGCTGAGAAAGACCGGACTGCCTGCCATGGCAAGTCCGTTTGCAATGGGACGCCGTTTGAAGAAGTACTTTCCTATCATGGTCAGCGCTGGCTGCAGGTTAAAGGCCAGGCCAAGTCCTGTGAAGACACACAGCAAACATACACATAATAACTTAGAATTTTCTTTGGGGTGCCATGCCATTTTTAAATTCGTGATTTAAGTAGGTTGGAAGTTTGCATGTGATACTGAAATAGGTTGGATTTATACTCCTCCTGCTACAACCGATCTATTCTTAACCTTTGACTTGGAGGTAAGTAGGTAATCGAGTTAAGCAAAATAGCTTTAGGTTGACTTAAGTGGACTTACCTCCAATTACTCCTATGCAGAGGTAGAGTTGGATCACGCTGGTGCAGAAGGAAGCTAAGATCATGCCGGTGGAGCAGAGGCAACCCCCCATCATCACGATGGGTCTGCAGCCATACGTGTTGACCAGAATGCTGCTGATGGGACCTGAAACAAATGAACAACATCAAATCAACTCCGACATGTCAGTTGTTTACTGAGGTTAGGGTCACTGAAGGTGAAGGTATAATGGCTTAATCCTGTTAGTACCACACACCAGCAGGAGCTCTGTTTCTATAAATAGCTGCAATGGGCTGATTCCATTTTTAAAGATGGGACCAAATCAAATTAAGATAAGTAACTGACATCGTGAAGACATGTGGAAGACTTTACTCTGCTGTTTTATTTATCATCTTAAACACGGGGAACTGAGCTGCAGCACATGAAGTCATCTTGTTCTCAAACCTGGTTAAAGCTGCTTAAAGCGTAGAGGTGAATCTCTGCACATTTCACTCAAAGAGGATCTGATGGAGCACTTAACTCTGCAGAGCTGTGTCAGCAATGTTTCTGCCAGTATCACTTAGTCTTAAATGAGGTTAATTATGTTGTTACCAAATCCCAAAGTTAAACCATGTCAACTTATGATCTAATTAATATTTATCTCATTAGGAGTGTGGGTCAGTTGTAATATAATTACCTAAATTGTGCATAGTAAATACCAGTTAGATCTTTTACAGTTAATTAAGAGTTCATCTTTGACTCAGTGTAGTGATAGCGCCATAATCGCCATCAGCATACTCACAGTTGCTGTGTGAGAGCAGCACTTGATTCGGTTAATTTGCATCAGGGAATATTCGTTCATTTATATTTTTAATTAAATAAAATAGACCAGTGTGACCGCTTTAATTATTGCCTCTCAGCCATTAACTGTATTCAGCACTGAAATATGACGAAATATGACCATTTTTTGCACAATTTGGTTCGACGTTTTTGGCTTGAAATGGACCGTTAAACCAAGCAAGGGGTTCCCAAAATTCTGGGGCTTGTATAGACTGTATATGACATATATGACATATGTATGCAGTCCCAGAGGTGTTACTATTTGGTGCCTAAAGAGGTGTAATAAAACTCAGTGGTGGCAGTTGCCTTTTTTTGAGAGGAAAGTGTATAGAGCAGAAAATGGGAAAAAAAGAGCAGGATATGACATGAAGGAAAGGGTCTGCAGGCTGGAATCAAACCTGAGTTATCCATGTGAGGATCCTAACCTCAGGAAATTTGATGTGTTTTTAGTTTTGGACTGTCACTGCAACAGATTTTCACCTGAAAATTGTTGTGAACATAAAATATTGTGATGACAATACCTTGGAATGTCTGAGAAAACTCAGCAAGCTTGCTAGCAGTCTGCAACTTCTTCTTCTCTGTTTTAATGGTGTGTGGCATCTAGCTTAAAGGACCATACCTATGAATTAATGCATCAATATATGCGTATATTTTTTAGCATCAAACCAGAACTGTTTTATAAAGACAGTCATTTTTATACTGATATATTGCGAAAACTCTACCCTAGACCTCAAGCAATAACCCCAGCTTTGATGCTGCAAATGTATACACAATTTTTGGGCTCATTATAATAATAACAGGTGAGTTTAGAAATATTCATCCTTATACAGTTTTAATGAATGGAGAAATAAGTATCTAAGACCAAAATTGCCCCCCTCTTAAGGCTGTAAACCTGTTTTCTTTTGGAAAAAATCACATGGGGCAAAATTTGAATCCAGCCCCCAGTGGACACTTGAGGAACTGCACTTCCACAGAGGCATTTTTTTTCATCAGTGCAGGTTGCCTCTTGATTCTAGCTTCTATTGTTATTTACTCTGATAATTGTGTGATAATTGCGTCGACACCTTCACCTCAGAGCCCTGTACACTCCGTCCCCCGCAAGATACACCCTCGCAGACAAGTAAAGACAAGTCATAATTTACTCTGACTGTTGTCTGGTCTTGTGTACCAGTCAATCCAATGCCAGTGGGATTTTAAAACCAGTTTTTCTTCTCTGTTTAGGTTTTCGTCAGGATCTTAGCCTCTACTATGAAGTCTGTACCAACACTGCAAACGTAAGACCTGCACTGAGAGGTGTTTGCCTTTCGGGCTCTTTAACGGAAAGCCTTGCCAAGAAATTGTGCTTGCACACTGCAGGAACAGGCATCCAGGGGCGGGGAGTCAATAAAAGAGGTAGCCCTCCACCATCAGTGCAATGATGTTGAGGATTATATCTAATAATGTCTATTTACTGCTTTACAGTCTCACCAAAAGAGACTCTCCTTCAGATACGATTGCAGAGGTGTTACTTTCTACTGTTTAAAATTTTCTTTTCGAGTTAAAGCAAAACTTCGGATCACTTTTATGCACTTTGGTGCAGAACATCTACTTCTAGGTGGATCTCTTTGCCTTTTAATTAAAGTTCTCTCCACTGCTTTTGCTGAAATTTAAGCACAGGAGGTCTAAAATCAAGCAGGCAGGTAGAAACTAATGAAAGGTGTATTTTTTCTTCAACAAAGCTCTCATTACCAGGCAGAGAAAGTACCATATTTCTGTCAGGCCGGGTCCAATTTAAAACACCATATTGGGTGAAGAGTCATCGGACTTAATTTCCACTGCATGAATCTTTTTAACCTTGAGGAGAGTTCCCCCTCATTTGCATCCACAGCAGTGATCTGTGTTCTCAGGGGCCCAGCGGGACCAGAGCTGGCAGAGATGAGGGAGCCCCTGAGCCTGCACATTAACTCCCTGTGAAAGGCTCATCATCTCCTGGCCAGACGATAGTACACCCTGGACTAAACCCAAATAACCCCAAACTAAGTATAACAATCAGACAAACAAAGTCTGCAAAGGACAAAGGAAAAGTCAGACGATAAGTATTGCTTTATGATGCTGTGCGCTCATTTTAGATTTGACATTAGCTACGAGTTTAAAGAACTTTGACATGGGTTGTAAACACACGTGGAGATGAAGAGGAAACCCTATATATGAGCCAAACCACATCCAGGTGGCTGAGTAGTAAAGGAGCACTTAACTAGTGTGAATGTCCTGATTTGTCCCCCACCGAAAACATCTGGTACATCATTAAATAACAAATATAATAATGTCAGGCAGAGACTGGTCTCCTCAGGTGATGTTTTAAGACAAGGTGAAGCCCCTGCACATGGTCCGCATGCATCAAATTTTAAGCATGTCTTGCAGAAAACAACAATTTTTTTCAGTTTTAATGTTTGATATGTTTTCTTTGCTCTATTTTCAAGTAAATAAAGCGTTTAAAAATGATTTGCAAACCATCAAAGTCTGTATTTTTCCATATTTTAGCCTGCCCCTCAGATATTTTAGGGTGGGTAATATTACTACGGAGGGCTGTTTGAGTTAAACTGCTCTGCGTGCAGCTGCAGCTTTACTCAGCAGTTTCCATAAATATGCATCTGTGTTAATGAAGACAAAGCTGTCCTGGAAAAGAGAGTGACGCTCATAGTGAGTCATCTATAAATGAATTAAATAGTGAACAACGTTTGTCTTACTAATGCCGGATTATTGAGTTGTGGGGTCAAGACGGTGATTTTCCAGCATTAGTGAAAACTGCACATCATCCGTTTTTTTGCTGACGTTCTGCTTCATTTTTCCCTTTCTGCTGCGCCGGAGAGATGAAGCTCTTTTTAAGCTGTGATTCAATCTGACATGCACAATAAAAGGCTGCGAGAGCGTTATCAGTTTCACATACAACTGAGGAAACCTTAAGGAGCTTTTAAAAGGTCTCAATTTACAGGATCTCTTAAAGGTGGGGTAGGCAGGATTCGGTTAAAGAAGCATCTTTTCTTTGTGGTGTATAAAAAAAAGCTTTAAATATCAGTCAATAGCTATTAGTTATTGATGATATTTGGTAATATAACGATATATCTGTGTTTTGTTATGTCTGCGTAGTCAACATTTTACACTTTTTGAGCGCCCTGCTCTTTCTGACTGTAAACAAAGCCGTTCTCTGCCTCCCCCAACCTGATTGGTTGTGAGGCAGACGCTGCTCCCTCATGTCGTTCACAAGCCCAAATTAAGTTAGCGTGCTTCATTATTGGACAGTAGAAACCAACCAAAAAGTACAGAAAATTGTCTGAATCCTCCTTTAGCCACGACTGCCAACACAAGCAAGAAAACAAAGTAAATACCGGAGACACTGGCGGAATAACGGGCGCTTAAAAAGGAGGTAGACCACCCGGAAAAGAGCTAAAAAGCCGGGTCGATGGGGGACGCCTTGGGATCTTCCAGACCCTGTAACCTTTCTGCTGGACAGGTAAACCGCTTTAACAAAGTAAGCCAAGTGTCTGTAACAGAAGTGTTTCTTGTCAAACGGGACCTGCTGTAGCGTGTTGTAGGGTCGCTAAACTGTTGACCTCGGGTCCTGGACTATGTCACTTTATCCTAGTTGTAGAAGTCCTGCAAACATTGTGTTTGTTGGTAGTCTGTTGGCATCTACAGTAGCACCGATGCTTTTTACTTTCACGCTGACTGGGCTCCATTTGTAATTATCTGCAGTATTTATCTGCATTATATCAGAATTTAATTGAAACGATACGAGTGAGCAGGAGCGTCTATTTGTGGGCAGGGCTTACTGGAGCAGAGACAGAGGGGAGAGGAGGAGCTGAGGGGAAAACTGGTTGGGAGGGGTAAAGTTTATGTTCAAGATTTCTCCCAAAAACTGGCACTTCCTCAGATCCTGCCTACCCTACCTTAACAGGAAATGGAAACAAAACATGTAACAAAGAACTCTATTATGACAAACATGAACATTTTTATTCTTGTGTTTAAAGTTTATCAAACTCTCATTAAAATTACTGGTTCAACACGTCATAATAAAGGATCTGGCTAGTGAACACACATGCTCCTCTGTGTATTCATCCTCTACCTGTATCTATGACACTGGCACTGGATGAAACACTGGTGAGTACACGCTGTATCATCCAAGGTCAGGTCTCTCTCTTTGTGTGTGGATTAACGACACTGATCCATCACACACACACACACACACACACACACACAGCTTAATGACATCATCACTGGGCGACTGCGGCTATGCTGAGGAGGATGAAGGATGTGTCTCATCACGACCATCAAAGATTGCCCTACCCTGCTTAACATTAAAAAAGTACAAACAAAACACTGCAATTACGACAAAACAAACTTTTCCTCTGTACAACCAAAACACGGTTATGCAAATGTTCAGAGGGAGGTTGTTGTTGTCCTGCCCGCATTCTGGAAATAGTTTGTTTACGATCTCATAAACCAAAATGAGGCTCCGTTAAATTCAGCAAAGCCGTTCCCACATTTCAGGCTCACACTGATAGGAAACAATAAGGGCTTGTAGAGATGATGCAACTAACTGAATGTCTTCTTGTAGAGGCAGGTTTAACACAAAGAAGGTGATAATTAAACAGCGTCAAGACTTCTGAAAGTGAAGCAGCTGAGAGATTGTGCAAGGCCGGGAGTGATTCTTTAACAAAATATCAATATAAACCTTATTTAAAGTCACCACTCACACAAAGAGAAATTCAAAGACCTGCATATGTCTCTTAGAAGTGATTAAATCAGTTAACTAGTAAACATCGTCATCCTTGCTAGCACTGGTAAGCTAAATGAGTTGTCCGATACCGATACCTGGGCTGAGTGTATCGGCCGATATCCGATACCTTGCTCTGTGAGTGAACGCATCAGGCTTGACATCAGACGTCAAAAAAGGTAACAAATTAACCCAGATATAAGCTTACTTAATATTATTTATTAACAAATAATTAATTAATTTAATATTGGAGCTGATATCTGATCCAAATATCGGATTGGTGAATCCCTACTTGACATAGGAGTAAAGGACTGGCTGTAGCTAACGCCACGATGCTAGGATGTAAACAAGCACAGATGATATTAGGCAGCATGTGTCTGTATCTGTATCTGGTTAAACTGGAGCAATGTGTAATCCGCACAATGGTATCAATCGTTCATTTTTCCAAAAAGACAGTTATCGTCAACACCGCTGCATTAGGACAGCCCTATTTGGAAAACTTGTTCTAGCTAAACTTATAGATTTGAACTTTAACCTGTTGGCTATGGATTCATTTTATATTCATTTATCAAATGCTGATTTTGTGCTAAAAGTGAGTTGACAGTACACTGTGAGTTCATAGAGGTGGTCCTTAATGGGATTGAGATGGAGGAGCAGGAGCCTGTCTCAAAGCACCTCTCCAAGAGATCAGCATATTTAAATCAGGGTGTCCCTATCTGACATCAGATTAATATCTAATATTGGTCAGATATCAGCAAAAATTGAATATCAGTTTATATCGGCCTGCATCTAAAATCGCAGATATCAGCACTCTGATACAAGCAGTCCATTCCAGACTCCGCTCCAGTATCTCTGTCTAGCAGTGCCTGGATCCAGTGTGCACTACGGTACTAATAAAGTAGCAAGGAGTAGGAGTGAAGCTGGCCGTGTGACAGTATTTTACGCTCAAGTCTGAAAAAGATGTCGCAGCTGAGTGCAAAACTTGTAATGCACAAGTTTGTGCTAATATCGGATCAACATCGGTATCAGCCAATACTGAAGGCTACAATATCGGTATCGTATCGGAAGTCTAAAAGTTGTATCGGGACATCACTACTTTTAAAAACAGATTTTTCATGATTTTTGGAGCTTTTTCAAGGTCTTTACTTCGAGTTTCTATTCAGTTCCATAACTCACTTACAGGAAAGAGCTTACTCTTCAAAATAAAAGTATAGTTTAAAATGAAGGGGGGAAATTAACAAAATAAAAGCATGCCAAATATTGTTTCATCATAATTAAAAACGGATGAGAACATAGAAGTTATCTGTGTTTGTTTGTAAATATTGTGAACTTAAAGCTTCTCCGTAAATATCATGAAAATATCGTCATTGTGATATTTTTTGGTACGATAATTCTGAGGCACAAATCTGATATAATGACAGCTCTAGTTGCTAGCACAGCTCAAAGCAGAAAAAAGGTCCACATATGGGACTTCACTGTAAATATTTGAAATCAAAATAATTAATAGAGCTCTAAAATTATGCTAAATTCAAACATCTAATATGGTTTATTCATAAAGCAAAAGTAAAGACATTAAAAACAAGCACTTCCACATCCACGGGAAAACAGCAGCGGGGAATTATAAAGGTGTTAAACATTTAAACGCTGATTGTTTCATCAGCGTAAGAGGCCGAACAAGAGAGCAGATGTTTAATGAATAGCTGATGAGTGCGATCAATATGAATGAATAAGTAACAAGAGCCGCTCGCTTAGCAACCACACATGGAGGACATCTCTACATGATAATGATATGCAGTCAGTGAGGGGCTAAAGCAGGGGGTGGTGATAGGAAAGAGTCTGTGATGTTGCCGACATGTGGGCCAAGATGAATTAATAACATTAATATCAATAAAGGGATATAACTGAATTTGTCAAGGGTTCCTCTTTTTGTTAATATTAATGTTTTCAGGAGTCTTTTAAACAGATTCGTGTTTAGTTCGGCAACACTTAAGAGTGACGATCTGTGTGGGCCTGAATCACTGAGCTCCTATCATCTGTTTCCAGTGGCATTAAAGATGTTGTCTTCGCCTGTTTGATCAGACTGATGAGTCACTGTATGCTCAGCATCAGAAAAGGACACAGTGAGCAACATCCTTTTAAATATTACACTATAAAGCTGCAGCTTGATTACGAACCTGCCACCTCATTGCCAAAACTACGGTGTCGCACGGCAAGCAACCAGATAAACCACGCCAAGCGCTCGCAAGCTCACTCCAAACCACGGAAATGTCAAACCGCAGACACTCCAGGTTTGTTTGATGACTAATAACATTCGTAGAGAGTCACTCAGAGCTTCAGTTGTAAAAGTAAGTCTATTTTTATCTTACCACAAATACTCGAAACTGTGTGTGGTTTATCTGTGCATGTGCACGTTTGTGGTTTTGTAGTGGAGAGTCAATCTGACTCCCAGATTGAGAGCAACAAGTCATATTCAGTAAATCTGAAACAGACAGTGCTTACATGCTGCTTTTCTGGTGTTGAGACCACTTCAAGTGCCTTCATAGTACATACCACATTCACCCATTCAATGAATTTTATTCACATATCACACATCAAACAGTGTTTTGTCTAAAGGCAGTTTCAGGTTCGATTCTTCCCCAAGGACGCCCCCGACTGAGAGAAGACTGACCTTTAAACAGCAGCTACCCCAAAAGTACCAGATTAGTTTTAACATGAATGCAAGCTCTTCTGCTTTTTATGGGTTGTTTTTTGTTGTTTAAAGATATAGTGGACACCTTAACTGCTATATAAGGGGAAACAATGGTACTCAGTATGAGGTTACGTGCCCGGAAATGCCTCCTTGAAAAGTGTGGTCTATGAGTTCAACAGGATATGAGATAAGAAATAAACATTGTCACACTGAGATAAGACAGAAAACTTTGTGCAACAGGATATAATTTATCATCTAGTATTCCTGGAGAAAGATCTGGATGTTTTGGTTTTCCAGGCATGGAAAAAAGATGTGAGAAGGTTGATATCTTGAGGATATCACTACCCAAAGTGACTACCAGAAAAGCAATGCCTTTGCCTCAGCATGTCCACTACCAATATCAAGAGTGAGTCATCTTCATAATCCTGTGCTGGTGATCAGAAAAAGGTCAGTATGTTAGCATGCACAGCTAACCGAGGATTTCCACCGGCGCGGTGATTTCCAACGTCCACCAATTTCTACCGGATCCGTTTGTGAGATGAATTTTGTGGCGGCTTACGGACAGCGGTAATCGCGAGAACTCACAAGAACCCGCAGGTTCATGTGCAATCGCGTGATAACAAGTTGTCTCTATAAAGACAGCCACATAAGCTAACCATATAAGCAGTAGATTGTGTCCTTCCAGAGGAGGAAATCTACTTCCTTTTCAGCACGGGTTAATCTGTGCTGGATTTATCCGGCATGCTCCAGCGTCCAGAAAAAATAGAACTCTTGCGATCAGATGTGGAACGGAAAGAAGCCGGTGGAAATTGACACATTAACTTGAAGGGTTACGATCAGCTGCGATCGGCAGATACAGCCTTATCATACTGTTCCGGATGCGCTGGAAATTGGGGGAAAAGTCGTCCTATGGATATCGCTCATTTAGGTGATTTACAAGCACTGGGCAAAGATCTGCCTTTGCTTTGGTAGGTGGCAGCATGCCCCCTATCGGGTCCTTACTATGGAGCAGTCTGCGGTTGACACATTATTTATCAAGCGTCAAACAATGGAGATATCTTCAGTTTTACAGCTCTGTTTTGTTACTTTGTATAATAGGAATGTTCTGTATTTTTTACGTCCTTTCTTAGTCTGTTGGGTTTTGTTTACTACCCAGCTCCCTTGCAACGCATCCATGCTATTCCACCTCTGGTTCAAAGCCCAACAGCCACACACTTATTTAACGCATCCCTGATACAAAATATTTAATTTCAGTTCTCCCATCTCAGTGGAGTGTTTTCAAAGTTCACATCCCACTACTGGTTAAAACTGCACAGCGCAAGATAGTAAATGAGCTCTCCAGGCCTGCTGTTGACCGGTACAGATGGTGGCAGCGGCAGCAGATCGAGTGACAGGAGGATTACTGCTTGGACAGATGGCAGCTGTGGCAGTGCCAAGCAGAGAGCTGCAGGGCTGGAGTCAGAGAGATACAGCAGGTGATCAGAGCAATATGGAGGAAATGACCTGCTGGAAACCCTCTAAGACTCTAACCAGTTCCTTATTTAAGAAAAACACTGTAATATTGCCAGTAAATCCATGAGAGATGTCTGCTTTCCTTGCAGATTTTTATATAAATAGGTCAGCTTAAGAGACTATTTATGGGTTATGTGAAAATCATACAGAGGTCTTATGAATCGTTAACATGGTGGCTGCTGGCTTTTATTATGATGCTATTTTCATAATATCTAAAATCTTCTGCTATCAGGCTCCATGTTATTTCCCTGATTAAACTTTCTGAGCTTTCATCCCATGATGCTTCGGACATAAATCCAGGTCATGATGTGACGACACAGCCTGCCTCGATCTCTATCCTGTTATTTTCTACTGTATCTGTAATGAAGAGCACCAGGCCACTCAGTGCTCGACAAGACTGCGATTTGGAAGATTATGCTCACAGATTCAAAGATAGATTAACTGTGCTATGTCTGGACTCCATATCCTATTTCCATGGCCTCGCCCAGACACATTACGGAGGTGACTTATTACAGCAACTTGTACATGCAACCCCACGATGACCAAAAACTAAAACAATGTGTGGTACAATGCCTGTAGTGCTGCATCAAAATTACTGACAATGGTGGTTTTTGCTGAAAGAATAAAACCAATAGAGATGATAAAACTCAGATTATGATAGTACCTCAATATAAAGTCCACAGTACGATACTCATTGTAATATTTTTATAAGACTTGTGGGAAAAATGCCACTTTTATTGCTCTCAACATGTAGCTACAGAGTTTTCTCAAAGTGTTTAAGTGTCTGAATTGAAAGTTTGACCATGATAAGGTGTTATTCTTTGACTCCTGCGTGTTCACTAACCTTCTGAATCCTTCGTTGTTGACCACAGAAAGTGTTCATAGAAAATGACAACAGCGAAGACCCCCATCATTACAAATGTGTCATTTTAAGCCCGATAATACACACTTTTGGTGGCTAAATCCAATGTGTCCTTATTGTTAATACACATCTAGCTAACTTTTTTAGCTATTAACTTAAATTGATGCAATTTGCAGGTTATTTTAGTGGCCCATTTTAAAGCCAAATATGGTGTTTGTGCTTTATTTTTCTTCATTGAGTGAAATGTGACCAATGAGCTTAGCTTGTACGGTAGTTCAAAAGCTAGCCAACGAGACGGTTACTCTTCACTTCTCTCCAGCTTTACTTTTTTTTTTTTTTGTAATTAACATTTTTTTATTGTATTAATATGGCACTCAGGAAACCATATACATTCATAGTAGGCATACAACACATTTAACCCCCCCTCCACCCCCCACCCATAAACAAACAAAACAAAACAAAACAAAACAAAAAGTCACCCAACTTTACAAATGATTCTTGGCTGTACATAAATGTAGTTCTCATATCACAGTAGCTAGGTATGCACAATGAGATAAAATGAAACAAGAACAAACAATAAAATAATAGGATATTAAAAATAAATTAAAAAATAAATAAATAAAAGAATGCATCTCTCTACTCATACATCTGATGTTTTGTCCTCCAAGAAAGATAGGTATTTCCCCCATTTTTTATAATAAACCTCAAGTCTACCAAATGACTTCCATGACAACCTTTCCAAGGCTGCCACTTTAGCCAACTGAGCAGACCACTCCTGTGTTGAGGGCACCCCCTCAGTCTTCCATTCCCTGAGTAATATCTGTCTTCCTGTCATAATGCTAGTTTGGATCCAGCTTTTAATGTGCTTACTCCCCTCTGTTAGGACAGAGTCATCTCCCAAAACAAAAAGTCTGGGGCAGAATTGTATTGGAATCTCTGCTATCTCACTAATAAAGCTGTGAATCCATGACCAGAACTGCTGAACTTTATCACAGGACCATAGTGTATGTAATAGATAGCCCTCTGCAGCTTTGCACCGCCAGCAGTTTGAGTTCTCAATCAGACCTAGTCTGAACAGTCTAGAGGGGGTCCAGTAAAAGCGGTGCAGGATTTTGAACTGCATCAAACGCACTCTTGCATCCCTAGACATAGTTTTTATGTTCTTACAGATCTTTAGCCACTCCTCCTCTTTTATTCTCAAACCAAGGTCTCTCTCCCATGTATTTTTAAGTGCTAGCAAGCCTCCATCCCCAGTTGTCTGATTCAGCATAGAATAATACATAGAGGCCTTGAATCCTTGCCTATAGTATCTCAGTATGTCCTCAAGTAGTCCAGCTGTCTTTGGAGCAGAATGAGCAAAAATGCTCATTAACATGTGGCGTAGCTGTAAGTACCTATAGAAATGTGACTTGGGGATCCCATATTGATGACTTAACTCATCAAATGATTTCAAAGTGTTGTTGGAGTATAAATCACCCAGAGTAGCAATACCCTTCTCCCTCCAATCCTTCCACCACACAGGGGATTTGTTAATACATAATTTGGGATTTAACCAGATACTAGAGTACACATTTAGAAAAGGATCTAGATTAAACAGTCTGGTAATTTTACTCCATATCCCTTTCATGTTGGAGAATATTGGATGACTTTTGATTGCCCCTGAGAGCTTAACTGAGAGACACTGGAGTAGTGGCACAGGGGCAATAGTTTGTTCAATAGAGAACCAGGGTGGAGCCCTCTCTGGTGGGAGTGACCAGTGGGCTAGATGTCTCAAACTAAAGGCGTAATAATAAAATAACATATTAGGCAATCCTAAACCCCCTCTATCAACAGGTCTTTGTAGTTTTTTAATATGTAAGCGGGGCTTCTTACCATTCCAAACAAATTTTTTCACTATCCTATCAAACCATGTAAAGTAAGTCATGGGAATCTCCAGAGGAATAGAATGAATTAAATAATTTAGTTTAGGGACACAGTTCATTTTAACCACATTAACCTTACCAACCATTGATAACTTTAGTGTTGCCCATCTACTGGTATCACAATCAATTTTATTTAGTAATGGATCGAAATTTACCTTAACTAGATCTTTTAGCTGTGGTGGAAAGAGTATGCCCAAGTATCTTATACCCTGACTGGGCCATTGAAATGCGCCTGGTTGGAAGGCTGAGGGTGGGCAGTAAGCTGTTAAAGGGAGCGCCTCTGATTTAGACCAATTCACCCTATATCCTGAAAACTTTGAAAATGAATTAATTATTCTCAAAAGAGCAGGCACTGACCGACCTGGTTCAGAGACAAATAATAAAATATCGTCTGCAAAAAGCAGAAGTTTATGTACTTCACCCCCTGCCCTTACTCCTGGAAAGTCAGTAGCCCTTCTTATAGCAGCTGCCAAAGGCTCTAATGCCAAGCAAAATAACAAGGGTGATAGGGGTGAGCCTTGTCTGGTTCCTCTCCCTAGGGTGAAATAGTCTGATATGAGTCCATTGGTTTGAACCGCAGCTTCTGGTTGATTGTAAAGTAACTGAATCCATTTGATAAACTTACTACCAAACCCATATATATCCAGTATTTTTAACAAATAGCCCCATTCAACCATATCAAAAGCCTTTTCGGCGTCTAAAGAAATGGCTGCCACAGGGGATTGCTCATCTGACACAGCCCACATTATATCAATAAAGCGCCTTACATTATCTGTAGAACTGCGGCCATTAATAAACCCAACTTGGTCAGGGTGAATCAAAGACGTTATGACTTTGTTCAAACGGTTAGCTAAGATCTTTGATATAATTTTTACATCCAACTGGATCAAAGAGATTGGTCTGAAATTTTTACATTCTGTGGGGTCTCTCCCTTTTTTAGGAACCAAGGTAATGAGTGCCTGTCTCATAGTTTGAGGTAATATCCCTTTTTCCAGTGATTCTGCATATAGATCTAGCAGCAGTGGGGCTAACTCCGCTGCAAAGCTCTTAAAAAACTCTGCAGTATAGCCATCGGGACCAGGCGATTTTCCTGCAGGCAGTGCTTTTATCACTTCTATAATCTCTTCTACCGTAATATCTTCATCTAGAATTTGTTTCTGCCTTTCAGACAATTTAGGCAGTTCTAATGGGTCAAGAAAAGCAAGCATTTCTTCCTCTGTTGAGGTAGAAGTAGAACTGTAAAGGCCCATATAAAATTCCTTAAAACACTTGTTAATATCTCCAGTTGATGTTAAGGTATCTCCACTTAACGCCCTGATCGCTGGAATAGTGGAGACCTGCTCTCTTTCTTTAATTAACCTGGCAAGCAGCTTCCCTGTTTTGTCCCCTGACTCAAAAAAGGTTTGCCTTGCCTTAAATAATAGAAATTCAATTTTTTTAGACAAGATAGTATTGTACTGGTACTTTAATTGTGTTAACTCCTTGAGAATATTGTTAGACATCCGTCTCTTTAGCTCTGCCTCTAAGCATTTGATTTTCCTTTCCAATTCCAGAAGTTCTTTAGCTTTTGTTTTCTTGATGGATGAAGTAACTGAAATAATGCGACCTCTGATGACAGCTTTCAGAGCCTCCCAGGCCACACCCATAGATGTACCTGTGGACCAGTTAGTCGCAATATATAAATCTAGCTCTGCCTTCATCCATATCATATTGTCAGGATCTTGTAAGATGGAGGAGTTAAGCCGCCATCTAGTAGAACGCTGTCTTTCACAATAGGGCTGGATTTCTAAACAAACAGATGCATGATCGGAAATGATTATATTTCCTATTGAGCAGGCAAGCACTGAAGGTACCAGAGGCTTTGATAATAAAAAATAATCTATCCTTGAGTATATCTTATGGACTGGGGAAAAGAAAGTGTAGTCCCTCCCACTGGGATTTAAGATCCTCCAAATGTCCACCAACCCCAAAGCTTTACACATTCGTTGCAGAGTAAGGCTTGCTCGTGGAGACCTACCCACTGCACCCCCACTATGGTCTAACACAGGGTCCATCAGTAAGTTGAAGTCTCCACCCAGTACAATGTTGTGGTTACCCATAGCATTAAACCTCCCCTCCAGATCTAGAAAAAATAAAGGATCATCTCCATTAGGAGCATATATATTTGCCAGGATAACAGTCTGCCCCTGAATTTCTGCCAATACAATAATGATTCTTCCTGAATTATCTTTTATTTGTTGGATACATTTAAATTGTAAATTTTTATTAATAAGTATGGCAACTCCCCTACTATTGCTAGTCCCTTCACTATAAAAAACGTGACCAACCCAACCACTACAGAGTTTGATAGACTCTGTTGGCGAAAGATGAGTTTCCTGCAAGAATACCACATCACATTTATCTTTCCTAATGCTTGACATTACTTTTTTCCTCTTCACTGGATTCCCTAACCCTTTAACATTCCATGTAAAGAGACGCATATTACTCGTCTTAGACATATTTAGCACTAACAAAAAATGAACTTGCACATGGCTTACAACCAAGATCTTGAAACAAAACACTGCATTGGTGACTTAACAAAAAACAACCCCAAAAAACCCTGACACATAGAATATGCATTAGAACCCGAACTCTGCATATCCTGTTACCCATTACGTTAACCTCGCTGTGGTCCATGACTCCTCTACGAGTCTCCCTCTTATGGGCCCCGCTGGCTCCACTGTTAGCATTCATTCAACCAGAACCATAGTGACGTCGCGTCCTTTTAGTAATATTAAACTGAGCAAAATCGTCAAACCTCGTCAGTCAGCACACAAGTATAATGGCAGTCTAAGTTATGAGTCCATTACTCTCGCCTTCATCTCCCTAAATACTCACGATCATTACATGCTGTCAATAAAAGTCATGGCTTTCTTCGGGCAAGAAAATGACTTCTCGCCGTCCTCGCACCTGACCTTCAATGTAGCGGGATACACCAGTCGAAAGCTCACCCCCCGGTCATGCAGCTTCTTCTTACAGTCTTTAAACTTATCCCTCTTCAGCATTGTAGACCGGGAGAAGTCCGGAAAGAGCATGATGTTGCTGTTGTCCCAGGTCAGCTTCCCCTTGTTCCTGGCCGCTCGTAGCACTAAATCCCTGTCGGATGATCGAAGAAACTTCGCCAGAATTGGACGTGGCTTCTCTCCTATCGGCGGGCGTTGGGAGGGTACTCTATGTGCTCGTTCAATCTCCACCGTCTCCTCGATGCTAAGCAACTCCGGTATCAGATCCTCCACAAATTTGGCCACCTCGGTCCCTTCCGCTCCTTCTGGGAATCCAATAAAACGAACATTGTTGCGTCTTGATCGATTTTCCATATCTTCCAATTTCTCCCAAATGGCCTCAACATCCTTCTTGTTAGCGAGAGGATTAGCTTGCAAGTCTTTATCCACTGATTCGAGGTATTCTACCCGCCTCTCCATTTCATCAATTCGTGAGATTAAAGTGGAGACTTTAGCTTCGGTTGACGCAGTGGTCCGGCGAATTTCTGCCAGTCCCTCTATTTCGGTGGAGATCTTTGTCAAAATTGCGTTAATATTGCTAATATCCTGGCTTATATCCTGAGAGACGTGGCTACTGGATGTAGCATTAGCACCGCCATCTTTATCGCCCCCATTCTGCGAACGCAAAAGCTTTTTAATGTCGCCACCGGCGGGTGGTTTCGAGCCTCTTGACATTTTTAAGAACTTCTAATGCTATTCTCACAAGCCGACTATTTCTTTCTGGTTTTAAATTAATTTTAAAATGATAATTACAGCAGAGCCTCGCGGAGCACAATTCTAGGCAGCCTTTCCTCGCATTGCGTCACGTGACCTTCCAGCTTTACTTTTTTTTTGTTCAAACATTTTCTCCTGGCTCCAGAAAACACAAAATGTCAACTCCCATAATGCCGACTACAAGGAAACCAATGACCCACCTGCGGCGTACATGACCGCGAGCATGATGGAGGAGATCCATGCGATCTGACTGTAGGAGGCTCCGAAGATGATTTGGATTTCCTTGAAGAAGACTGTGATGGCCTTTGGGAAAGCGTACGAGAAGCCTATGGAGATGAAGGATCCCAACACCACAGCCCAACCCCAACCGCCGTCTGGTGGGGTCACGGCAGTGGTGGGACCCGTGGTCGGGGGCGGCATCACTGGCCCACCTCAACGCTGTCTTTTCACTGCAGGAACAGAAAAAAAAAAGGATAAAAAAGGATAATTAAGAATCTGCGTGTTTTTGTGTCTAAATTTGCTTTTGGTCACATTTACAACAAATAATGCAAAGTTACAAAGTTTGGTGTTCATACATGTATTCAAAGTTTCAAATCACAAGGTAGACGTATTTTGTTATATTCTGTGAAAGTAGAAAGAAAAAGAAAGTTGACTTGTGAAGGGGGGCTTAAAGGGACAGCAGCTAAAACGAAGTGTTTCAGATGGAGGCTGAAATAATGTTATTTTAATACACCACTGTGAAAAATGATCTATTAGGGAGGTATCAGAGAGGAAGTACAGAGTCTGAAAAAAAAAAAAAGCACAATACCCCCTTTTAAGGGTTTATCGTTTAAAGGGATATTCCAGCGTAAAATTAATTTAACACACAAATCAAACACACTGTAACACTGAGTTAGACGCCCCGTCAAGAGATGAATGTTGCCGACCGCTTGCTTCTCTAGTTTTACCAACTTTAGTAACGACCGCAGGATAGCAATACGCAGCGGTCTGAGGAGCCATAAACAAACCTCAACCAAAACGCCACTCTTTAGCCACAAATAATGCTCAGAACAGCACCTAACTTCATCAACAGTACATATAGGGTCCTAGCTATAGCACTAACCACCAAATATCTTTTTAATTTTGCCTAATTTCTTTAGCAAAGAGACTAAACGCAACTCACCCACTCTCTTCCAGCAGCTGCTTGTTTGTAGCGAGACTTCAGGCCAGTCCAGGACTACAGCGGGGTGACACAGCTCAAGGAAGAACATTTATGATAATTTCTTTATGGAATTCAATCAGACCGAGATGCTAAGGCAGAATAACTTCCGCGTCTGCAGTGCAAAATGATTATTACTTCAATGTTCTTCCTTGAGCTGTGTCACCCCGCTGTAGTCTGTAATGGACTGGCCTGAGGTCTCGCTACAAACAAGCGGCTGCTGGAAGAGAGTAGGTAAGTTGTGTTTAGTCTCTTTGCTAAATAGAAATTAGGCAAAGCTAAAAAGATGTTTTGGAGCTACTACTGTGGCTGGGACCCTATATGTACTGTTGATGAAGTTAGGTGCTGTTCTGAGCATTATTTGTGGCTACTGAGTGGCGTTTTGGTTAAAGTTTGTGTGTGGCTCCTTAGACCGCTGTGTATTGCTATCATGCGGTCGTTACTAAAGTTGGTAAAACTAGAGAAGCAAGCGGTCGGCAACATGTATCTCACAATGCGGTCTCTAACCCGGAGTTTCTGTGTGTTTGATCCTAAATTAATTTTACAGCAGAATATCCCTTTAAGACAGACCAGCACCAAGCAAATACGCAAGCTTGTGAGGTGTGTCCTTATGAGGAAAAACATTATAACACCTCAGTAAGTCAGACTAACAGGCTCAGGTCGGGCAGATTCAGCGCTTTAGTAATTGTTGTTTTCAGATATCTGTTTTTTAGACTTAATTAATCACTGTCATATTAGCGCTGATGAAAGCCAAGGGTAATCTGATAGCAGAGGACTGAGGTCAGGCTGCTTTTGATCTCAGATAGGACTGTTTTTCCCTGCGTACGCTGAAGCCTAATGATGTGTGACCAGTCAATACTCCTTGGACTATAAACACACTCTTAACAGAGGCTAAATACCATAATCCAGACCCCTGGGCACGGAGTCCTTTTATTCTAGACAGACTTTTTACAAAGAGAATAAAAATAAATCAAACCCAGGCTGGATGGCTGTTTATAGGAAAAAGTCACAGATCTTTGCCGGCAACATATACTGTATGTATACATATCAGATCCTCATCAGCAGATCAAGAGTCTTGTTGACAGTATACAGAGGGATTTAAAATTCACAAAGGTTTGTCCTTTTCGTCATTTACAGGTAACTCTGCCAGGGGTCACCTGACGTGTTAGAGAGAAGGACATACGAGAGGTCTGTATCCTGGAGAGGACATGTACGCACACAGACGCATATTCAATTATCTGCTACCTGATGGAGCAGAACTACCCGCCCACTTTTCACCTTGTGAGCCCCGCCCCCTTACCCTCACTCAACAATGGAAAAAAGGGGAAGAGGCTGTCAACTGACAAAAGAGTCGACGCAGTTTAGAGACAGGTGCTGCTGTGTACAAAGCAAACACGCCCTTATTACATGTATAAAACCACGAGCTGCAGTTGCCAACTTTTCACTTCGGTGAATACAAACGTGGAGACACACACACGCGCACACACACACACTTTTTGCAGGAATATCAGAAGTCATGTTCTTTTGTTTCGCCCTGACGGATCGGTGTAAAATCTGAAAATCCCTTTTATGAGTGTGTCAAATGAAATCAGGTATTACTTGCTACGTCTGTCATTTAATTTGTTAAGATCAATCTACTACCAGCTTCAACATCTCAACATGGACAGGCTTTAACATGATTTTTAACACTCTTTTATAAGTCTGAGTAAAAGTAAACCACATCCTGCTGCACTTAGAGAAACCGCAGAAAGGCACAAACTCCAACACAAGATAAATCTGAGGGTTAAACATGCTGAGCTGACTTCATGCAGTCAGTGGTCAGCTCAGCAGGCTGGAACCTGCTCTCTTACGCTGCCATATATGCAAATCTACTCTTCAAACCCCCCTCTTCTAGTCAGAGTAACACTCCCACAGATAACATCTTCCTCATGGCAGTCTACAAGTTACTTTAAACAATTTTCTTTGCAGTATAACCTGCAGCTAAGCATAGTTCCTCTGCCGTGATTCACCTCCTTGAATTTTTCTCGCAGCCTTATATTAAAAACTTTCCCACCGAACACATCAAACACATTCAAATTTTGAGACAAACCGACACTTTTATCAATCACTGCAACCGAAAACTAAACAACAGATGTGTTTAGTGATCTAGAAATAAAGAAATCATCATCCTTTTTGTAAATATTTTAATGCAAAACTTGAGATTTATTGTTCCTTTTTTTTTCCCGATCGTTGGGTACAAACATCTGTTGTTGTTGGAGGAAGAGCGTATTGCACAGCAGCACGCTCTATGTAAGGGTTTCAAAGCCGTGGAAAGAAAGTGGGCACTTAAGTCTTCAGAGTGTCTGTAAATGAACTGTGAACATCAGCTAACAGCATCAATAAATAACGCCCCTCTGGTCCCTTGTTGCGGCTCCCGCCTGATCAGGTTGCGATGTTGAAGCGGATCACCCGTGGTGACTTCTATATAAGTGTCAACAGGAAGCCATTAGCGGGATGACTCACTGCGGTGCCAATAAACACATCTCCAAAGGTTTAAAAATCATGAATAAAGCCGGAGAAACTGCAGAAAACAAGGAGATGCAGGACTGAAACTATCGAGAAACTTCAGTGAAAATGGTTAATTACTTAAGCGATTAATAAACTTAGAAAAAAAACGTCTGACTGGTTCAAACCTTCGTGTTTTTCAGAGGGAGTCATCGCCAAACTCAGCTGTCCTGAAAGATGTATTCGTAAAAGATTAGTCATGATATCTTAATTTGTTTTATTTACATCCGAATAACTAGAAAATTTCTTTATTTTGTACGAAACCACAATAGGATATAAATATATCCATCACTGTCACTGACCCTTTACCCAAAGTTGGAGGGATTTTCTCAAACACAGATCCATACAGCGGGTCTAATCCACACTAATCAGATTAGAGACTATCCATACTGAGACTGTGCAGCACTCAGTGTATATCTGGTTTTGATTGATTGAACGTGATGACAATGAACGATCGAGCCTCGGGCTTCATAAGCAGCTTATATTTATGGGTTTGAATATGAAGCTCCAAACTGACCGACCATAAAAGGAGCAATAAAAATAGAGCAAAGAGGCTAATCTTAGAGGAGTTTGCTTTGTGATTAACCGTAAAAGTACCAAGGAAGACGCACAAACCAGAGTCAGAGTTCAGCTACAACAACAACAACATTTCTTTGCACTTCATAAACACTCCTGTACCATCTCCGCTGCGTCCTTCACCTGACACCGCTGACTGAAAGAGCAGCTGAGAGAGGCCTGACTGACAGGCTGCGTTCACAGCCAGCTCTGAGCGGTGTATGAAAACACGTGTGAGGATCAAGTTGGCTGAACTCGGGTGACACTCAGGGGGAAAAACAAATATGGACATTATTTCTCTCCGTGACGGTTTGTTTGATTTGCAACCGGACCTCTGCAAAAGTGTAGCATAACGTTTTGGATCCAAATCTGCAACCAAAAAGTCTGCCTACTATCCTCTCCGCAGTTGCTTTCCTGTGACGGTGGATAGTTTGTGTCTGTACACCCTGAATAATGAAAGCTGCAAATCAGCCGAGCAACAGCGGCTTCAGAGCCCTTGCATGGTCAGCTACTGTAGTGTTGCCCCACTAAAGAATTTCACCCTGGAGACGGTTATATATCGACTTGAATACTAGGATACCTGTTCTATCAGACACACCTGAAAATGTTGCTGAAACTGCTTTTGTGCAAGTCTAAACCTTTGCTAAACCTGAAAGTGCACACAGTGGCGTGCAAATTGCATCCAGGTGTCTGTGGGGCCATGCAAAGGGGGGGAGGGTGAGGACGTGTTGGGGAAGCTGTGTAGTCCAGTCTGTTTGCATGACAGAGAACAAGGAAAGAAAACAGTTTCATGATGGAGCCTCATGGAATCTGCAGATTCTAGAGGATCATCCGCTGCATGGCTGCAGGTACTATAACTGCTGAACACATCCCTATTTTTTTGTATTTACTTGTATTTCCACCTTGAGGGTAGAAACACTAAGAAGAGAGACATACTGTCAGATTTCTCCCTCACTTTGATCAACAGCAGGGTGTTTATCAGGTGCTGCAGGTTATCAGACTAAGAGAGTAAAAAGCAACAAGAGATCATCATGTCAACTGATGGCGAACAGTCATTTAACCTGGTTATAAATGAAGAAAAGAAAGGTGACTTGTGCAGCTTAAAGTCTACTTGGGTGACCCGTCCAGGTACCAACAATAGGTGGGAAAGACTGGCTAACCCCCAATTTTCACCTCATCCGGAATGGCTCCAATCCACAACAGCAGCGATTTTCACCGTCTTTTATTTTGAAAAGAAGCCGGACCTGGGATTTCCACCACATCCGTAACAGCTCCGATCTGGAATGGTGCCGATTTTTCACTGTACGGAGAACCCGCAGATTCACATGCAATCGTGCGATAACGACTTGTCTCTTAGCCACAGAGGCTAACCATAAAAGCAGTAGATTGTGTCCTTCCAGAGGAGGAAATCTATGTCTAGACTTCTAAAATCAGCATCCTCTCATCCATGGTGTCATCGGGATGAAATGCTGTCTATAAACCTTTCACTTGTTTGTCTCCGCCCGTTTGCATGGTTTGAATTATGGAGTGTTTTATTTTGAAAAGAAGCCAGAGGTTTTATTTTGTGTCTGTGCCCGACTTCCTTAAATTTATGCTCCGGTGTTCTGAAAAAAACTCTTGCGATCAGCTGCGGAGTTTGGCGATCCACAGTGGAACGGAAAGATGCCTGTGGAAATTGACACATTTACTTAAATGGTTACGGTCACCTATGATTGGCGGATATGGCCTTTTCGTAGCTGTTCCAGATGCGGTGGAAATTGGGGGAGGTCTTTTATTTTGTGTCTGTGCCCGACTTCCTTGCCAGCACAGGTTAGTCTCTGCTGAATTTCTCTGGCAAACCCCAACATGCAATCTCTTGCGATCAACTCTTGTGGTCAGCTGCAGAGTTCAGCATTCTCAACGGAAAGAAGCCGGTGGAAATTGACACATTAACTTGAGTGGTTGTGATCAGCTACAACTGGCAGATACGGCTTTTCGTAGCCGTTCCGGACACGGGGCACAAATCATGTTTGGTAGTCTTTGACCAAAATCCGTTTTGTTGTTATTGAGAGAGCAGGTCAGCTGATGACCAATATCTGACGCCATTGTTGTTTTCTTAAATTTTAGAGGTAATCCAAGGAGGAAAGAGTGATGGACTGAAAAATAAATGCTGCTCTTTGCCCTCTTGTGTGTACTTAAGATGTCCATTTTCCTTCACCTTGGGGAGCTTACTGAAACAACAAGGCTGAGACAGAGAGCACTAGAGTGACGGCTGAAGTCCAGGAACCAAAATAGGGTTTCTGTAATCAAATCATCCTTCTGGCAATAACTCATCAGACCGGGTTACATTGTATTAGATAGCAAGTGTGCACCTCTCCGGATGTGTGTGTGTTTGTAGATGAAAGTGTGTGTCTTTATGTCCTCCAAGGACATTACTTAGTACCCTGGCAGAAAGCCTAAAAGACTGCGTTCTTTGTAGCACGGACGGACAGACAGGGTCTCAAGTTTAATTCACAACAAGAGCCAAGCTGAGCCCCCAGTGTTGGATTTCAGGCGAGTTTCAAGAAAGGTGGGGTAGTGCTTTCAAAGCGAGAGGTCACTACAGGGTAACCACGACTCCACTCACGGAGTCAGTTGTCAGTTTCTTAAACTTTGATTTAGGATTGGTGTTGCAAACATTTCTATTTCTGGAGCCTTAAATTCCAGATTGAAAATCAAGCTGGAAAGAGTCGACTTTTCCAAGAGACAATGAGAAGAGTGAGCCAAAAGGAATGGTAAAGTTACAGGCCTCAAAGGTCAAAAGGTCATCTGAAGTGAGCAAAAATGCATCTCTGTACCCAAACCACAGCTGAGGATCTTTTAACCTGTTATTATATCAGTTTCAGTGCTGTCAAGGTCAAAGGTAGCACGTTTTTTAAAGTATGATTGACGCATGTGCTGTTGACATGACCCTCAGCCAAGGAAACGATGCAGCAGCAGCATCATGGATGGAAAACGTACCTGAGCAGAAACGGATAAAGAAGCAGCTCCTCTGAGCAGAGACCTCATCTTCGAAGTCCTGCCAGATGGTTCTCTCAACAAGAATCTATGCAAGTTTTTCCTTTTACTGTCCACGTGAGCTGAGTTACCACCAGAGCACGCCAAGACTGGAATACCACTTGCTGGCCAAGCACACAGCTGATGAAGGAAGGGCTCCGGCCAAATTTAGGCCATGCAATGGAGACGTCTGGACAACTCTGCAAAGAACAAACTTTCAACGGCTACAAGAGCGGCTGCAGCTCAGAGGTCGCTTAACGTTCATGGGGCAAGGTGTGCTTAAAATCATCAAACAGCAAATATTGAGACAAATTTTGGCACAAACATGTCAAGATAGACTTAACCCTCACATACTGTTCAAATCCTGTACCCTCACAGTATGTTCCGGGTCAAAATTGCCCCTTCAAAGAGTTCAAAGTGCAGCTTTCTGTCACAGAAAGTTCTCTTGACAAGTTACGTCATTTTGACCTCTGTCTAGGTGTGTCTGTGTGACTGTATGTCTGTGTGCGTGTGTTTCTGTCAAGGTAATGATAGTTTCATAATGATTTGAATATATCTTTTTGAACAACAAACCTTATATTGAACACGGTTGTTACTGTTTGTCACTTGTCCCACATTGCTAGATCTAAAATCCATCTAAATATAGATACGGGTCAAATTTGACCCGTAACAGCCTTAGAGGGGCAAAATTTGTAGCACATAAACAAAAATACACATGAATGTTTTTAAATAAGTTTCATGTATTTTGGGCAACTTCAGGAAAATTCATCAAGTTTCAGACTTTAAAAATGATGTTTAGGGTATTTTTTACTGCTGTTAAAAGTCAAAACAGGTCAAATTTGACCCGAACAGCATGTGAGGGTTAAAAATGTGATAAAATGCAGTCAACTATGGAAAGCATATAAAACATTTGTTTGGCGGCCTCAAAGATTTCTTATCATGTTAGCTGTTGAATTCTTGAGGTGTGATGATGTCTCAATCAAATCTAATCTAATTAAACACACTAGAGCCGATACGAAGCAATTAAAAGAGAACAAAAAGACCTGCAGGTTCCAGTCGAATATTGAAGGATTTCTTCTTCTCTTCGCTTTTTCACAATAGTAAAAGGTCAGGTTGTGATCACTTAATAATGGCGTCTTAATGTGGAGCCATGTTGAACTTTAACTGTAATGAAGATCGGCTGACTGACAGGTGCTGGGATGAAAACATGGCAATCACAGTTTCCTGTAAAAGATATGAACATACAGTGGTATACCTATATCAGCCAAGACCTCGAACAGCAGACGGGTCAACAGCCTCAGTCAAGTGTATTTCAGATAATTTAGGCGCTTTAAGCCCTGTCAGACTCTACAAAAGGAAACTTGACCTCTACAGTCAGCGACTGCCAGCATGAACCTGACAACCCCCCACCCCCTCCATCCAGGTCCCATGGGTCTCAAAGTTATGGCAACGCAAGATTAGCTCTAAGGTAACCTTCCAGTAACACCTTTCACTTTGTTTTCGTCGTAGTTCATCATTAACCCAATAACCGACGCTCTTACCGGGGACTGAATCACACAATGCATTCCTATTATCAACATGACATCTAATCCCACTACGACCAGCACACCCTCCCTTTGTGTCATGCAACAACAAATGAGAAAAATACCGCTGAAACAATGGCTCCAAGGGAGAGTCGGTCTCCACTTAGAAAAGCCGCCAGGCAGGAGGTCTTCCCATAAAATATACCAAATCCATAATACCCTCTCTGCTCAGCTGCCAAACTCTGTACTTTGAGGCCCTTCCTGCAAATTCCTGGGGACAATCCATGATTTAAAAACTTTCAGGTGGTCTGATAAGTCCTGAAACGAACTTTTAACCACTTTAACTAGATAGGAAACTTTGTCTGATGCAACCTGCAGAGCTGCAGACAGCATGTCTGCAACGTGACGTGATAAAACACAGCCGAGGGTGGGCGTGATGTGAAACTTGTTTTTTGAATTATTTGTTTATTTATTGTTGTTTCTTTGTGTAATGGTGTTGTCTTTTAAAAGTTAATTCCACTTATGCGGTCAAAAGAAAAAAAAAGGACACTCATTTTCATACTCTGAGAGATTTGCATGGCTCTACAACAAAGCATCTATGTAAGACAGGAAGAGGACTGGAGTCTGATCTGTACTGTCTGACGCAAATCACTCTGCATTAACGCAGTAGCTGCATCAGTCCAAACCAAAATGTGTGTACCAAACTCTAAACTCCGTATGTTCTAACTGGGGATGATGGTGCGGCAAAATCCAAACCATGTGAGAATGTGACGCAGGTGTCAGTATTGTAACACGTACACTGTCTACCACTGGATAAGCATGATCAAATATGGAGTCAAAACAAACAGAACAGCCGTGAGTGAATGAAACAATACAACACAAAATAAACACTATACAAAACAATACGATGTGTTCAAGTAAACAATATCTGGATATGATTCGTGACACGTAGGGCTAGGCGATATGGGAAAAAGTTTATCACAATATATATTTTTTTCATATTAGCCAATATCGATATATATATCCCGATACAAAAAATGAAATTTAACTGTGTTTATTGGGAGCATGTCTTTTGCAATACAATAAGTTATTGCATCTGAGGTCTTGGTGTCGCTTCAACGTTTTGTTGGACTAGAGAAAGCGGACTGAATGGTCGGCTGTTTTGGCTGCACAGGCGCCATGGGCTCCTTGCTCTGCTTAGGGTTCTTAACCTTTTGCACTGCCAATGCTCTGCCGTGTGGCACTGCTTCAGGTGGTGAAAAAGATTTGAGGTATTCCCCGACTTTGCGAGAACATGTACTCGACATAATTTGCAGTGCACATTACTCTGCTTCATGTCCGACCTCAAAAAAAACGAAATACCACTGATGTTTTCATGCCAGTGTTGACGACCATGTCGCCACTGTTGAGCATCATCTGCATTTCTGCCAGGGGTAGCACTCATTTTCTTTTTTTCTCACCAACAGTGCTGTCGGCTTCACCTGTTAAAATGCTATCGTTGCGTGTAGCTGCAGCCTGCTACTACGCAGGTGTTTGCTACTTGGTTCTGATTCAAAACATGATTGATTCAGCGTGAAACGGACCCAGAGCAACTCCCCTTTTCATTGGCTGTTTGTATAGTCTACTAAAACATGGCAGAATGCCGGTTATCAAAAAGCATATTGACCATGATTTATATTGATATCGAGGGAAATTAATTTTCGATGTCTATCGTTATTGTTTTATTGCCCAGCCCTAGTGACATGATACGTTTTATGATTCAATTCAGTACGATATCGTACGTTACATTACAGCATCATGCAATACAATGTGATATGATACAAAGCAATATGATAGAAAATGAAACGATACAGAGTGACGGAATATAATGGGTATGATATGGAAAATAACACGACATGAAATTATATGATACGATACGATACAATGAGATACAGCATGATGAGATATGATACGATATGATATAATATAATACAATATAAACATGCACAGCGCCGATTTCCTTAATTTTGGGGGATCAGTGATTGGCCGATCCTTACATATGAAACCGATCTACCAACCCAAACATCTGATAGTCAGCCATTGTAGCTAAGACCCACCCAATAGGTCACATGTGCATTTACACATGCGTCAGCTGCACAGGTAAACAACAGTCACCCGGAGCGTGGTCAATTAAGCATGTTGTCTGTTTGGTAGTATTACAGTGAAGAATAAAAAGCAAACGTTTGCAGTTTGTAATTTATGTAAGGCTGAAATAAGTCAAAATTAGATCAGAACAATGAAGGTGTACGCTGTCAGTTATTAAAACAAAAATCGGTATCAGCAGGTCAGGCTTTTTAAAGAACAGTAATCAATGATCGGCCAGAAAATTGTGATCAGTGCACCACTAATACAATGCAACACGGTAATATGCATAAGATATTACATATGATGATATGATACGATACAATTCATGTCACACATAGGAAAAGCAGCCTCAGACAACATTAGTTGCTCTCACTGTAGTATGCATTGGTAGCAAAATAAAACCAGGCAGTATAAACAGACAAGTAAACCACAAACTACACAGGTGGCATCTTGCACACACTTCATACTCAAACACAGATTCTAGTTTCTTTTTTTCTTGTGATACAATGACAGAAACAGCAAATTTATGCAGCCCTCAATGACAGCCTGACAGGATGACATGTCGTTTTCTTGAAGGAAGATTACACACCTACACACATCTAAATCTATGTGAACATGACAGCGTGATGGGAAGTGGCTCTCTTTCCCTTTTTCCATGTTGGCTGCCAACTCCCACATTCAACATCCAATCCAGAGCTCCCTCTGCTCCACTCCTCTAAGAGCTCTGTGAAGGTCAGGGGCACTCACATCTTTGTTCCAGTTTTTACTTTGAAAGCTTCAGATTGCATAGAGAATATGATGAAGCCCCAACACTGAAACTCTGAACATTGCATCATGTATTTATAGGTATGGATCAAAGCCACTGCCAGAAACTTTAATACTGATCAATGGAGGAGGACTTCTTGAGAGTACTAAGAGTTTATCGATCTGAGTGGTGCAGTGCTCTATAGGAATCCTGTCAATCGTGAAAAAACATCTACTTTAAGCGGATCTAACTTGCAGTATCTTTTTGCCACACATGACCCCGACCAACAAAATCCAGAACAAAGATCTTAACATCACACAGTTTATGATACCAACTTTTTTTTTTTGTGGTGATGGACTCAGCTGTAACAACTATAATTAATTTGACCTTATATATCTTTTTTAACTTTACAGTGTGCTCTCTGTTTGAAGCACAATACCTTGTTTAGTATCAGGTGATACTCACTCACGGCGGGTTTGTGTCCAAAACAAACTTCCCTCAGGGAACATGCAAAAAGGTCCTGATCTTGAAACCCGAGACATGCCTTAAAAAAACGTCCCTGCCCACATGACCAGATCTTCCACTGCTTTTGAGGGAAACAAACAGTGTGGACAATTACAACCAAAGTGTGTTTAGCTTACCTACGGCCTGAATCTACATGCAGGAGGACACCGAAAACAAACAAAATAGGGCAAGGAGTGAGCAAACGTACCTTCTGACCATTGGAGTAGGACACCAAGAGCAACTTAAAGTCTAGCCAGGAAGCAGGCAAATTTAAGTCTGACCACATGATCAGTCATTGAAATACTTTAATTATGACTAAACAACCTCATACAGAAGCTTTTTTTTACACCAGACTCCCATAATTGTACTTTTCCCATCACACACACCAAGAAGGCTGAAATTACATCTTCGCTTTTAAAGGAACAGTTCCACTAAATATGATAACCCCACACGATCTCTTAAAGGATGTTTGATGAGATGATTGTTACCACTCCCATGTTGGTAGACTAAACATGAGCTCCCGCTCGCAGCAGGTGAACCTACATCAAACAAATCCAGAATCCTCTATAAAGCCACAATGTTGCCTCTCCTTTATAAACTTCAGTTTGTGAAAACATGAATAAACAGATGCGTAAGTGAGCTGAGGAGCAGGTGTTTGTGGTCTTAGACGGAACCACAACAACTGTTGTAACAGCCAGTAAGGGAGAGTGGGGTAAGATGAGCCATTTTTCATATTTCAGATCACTACATCAAGACAATCATAGTTTTGTCTCTAACTAGTGTATCTGCATATATTTCAAGATGTTGTTCATCCCTACAAACCAACAGAATAAGTGTAAACAAAACTGTCTTGATAATATAGCATGCCAAAAAAAAGTGGTCTCCTATGGTAAACCTAACCTGTGTATGGGGTAAGTTGACCATAGGAACAGGGTAAGTTGAGCCGTATCTCTCTACATTTTAACATGAGAATGCCTTTAAGTGATTCAGAACATTCACAGCTGTATTTATTAAAAGAAATCTGAACTGAAACTCTGATCCTCTCATCAGACTCCTTTACTTTCTCAGTTGAGCAACAGGCTAAACTTACCCCAGAACTACTATTATGACTTTATTAGTCCTCTAAGATAAAATGGTAGACTTGTTGTAGCTCATAGTTACCACAATTGGTGTATTTTGGTCTGAACATAATTCTAATCAAACTTATGACAGACTAAATTCACTTTCAAGATGGAAAATGTTTTTTATGAAATAAATGTCTAACTCCTTCACCCATGTGCTTCTAACCTTCACAGACTCCATGAATTGATGCCCATCTCCTAAACATTTGGTCACATGATCAATTTCTTTGACCATTTCCAAGCAACAGGAGGTGGCTCAACTTACCCCACACTCCCCTGTAGCTGTAGCGGGGCATTTAGCATTCATATTTTCACACTTTTGAGGGAGATATAGTTTCTTCATCAAAAATGGTAAAGTTAAATTTCATTTCCCATTTCCTGTATCTACACATAAGGGACAAAATAAACCATTACTCACACCTGCTTCACCTGGTCTGATATGACTGTGTTGGCTAACATTAAACAGCTTAGCTGGTGTCAAAACTGTGTATTTAAAACTCTCTAGATTATGAACACAGATAAAATCAGGGCTTAATTTCTCATTTTGGAGAAATACACACGCGTGAGTGTGGTCTGCATGAGGAAAAACTCAGTCTGACAGAGTGATGGACCAGCAGAGTGATCCCCTCTCAGCACTGCAGGCTTATCATATGATGCTGCTGATGTAAGGACAGGGACCGGATGAAGCCAGTTTCAAAGCCCAGGGCCTACATGAGCTCCACCGTGCGCTCAGAGGCGGAGCAGAGAGCTCCATGTCTGTTTCTGATTAAATGTTTTTCCCCTCTTTCACGTTTTCTGCTCTGAAACGACCTCATCGCACGGATTCCCTCCTCTCTCCGAAGGCCCCTGAACGCACCACTAAAAATGTACCCAAACATGTAGCAGAGACATCCACCCAGCCTCAGCCTTCTTCCCGGTTTATTCCTCATTCATCGCAGCACATGCTCATCTCTGCATACCGCGGCGTCCCGAAAACGCCGAAATCCCGGTTAATCCTCCTGATCACCGGCGGCGGCAGCTCGTCTTTCAGCGCCGTCAGCGAGAAACAGGCTTTAAATGTTACTTTACCTTTGGAGGGAATGAAGATGCGCGTCTGTCTGTCTGTCTGTCTGCGTGTGTGTGTGTGTGTCCCGTGCAGGCTGGCCGGCTCGGTGACCTTGGAGCAGGAGAAAAAGATGCGTGTGTCTGTGTTGTGGACGGCTCGGTGTTTGAATTTCCCGAGTGAGCCGCTGCCTGACGTCGATCTGTCGCGGGCTGCAGAGGGCGGTGCTGCCTCCGTGCTATTTTAAACCCCGAGGAGTTTTCAGGGGATTGACTCAGCCACTCACTGCACGTTACTCGTTACATCCCCTCAGCTCAGCCCTCCTCCTCTTCCTCCTCCTCCTCCTCCTCCAGGGCGCTGTAAGTGTTCTCAGTGAGCTTTGGATGAAGCCCCACGCAGGAGATAAGCACACGGGCATAGGCAGTTATCCGCCCAGGCTGATAGGAGGGACTGCAACTTACGATTGTTTCAGTGAACCAACAGCCTGATCTGAGAGTGTGATCTGAGAGTCTGAGAGATAGTCCACAGACTTGAATGTTTACTGTGACACAGCCTTTGGCGTAAAACAATAAAACAAGTGAATGAGTTGAAACTTGAATCAATCTTCTGAAGGAGCTTGAAATGTTGGTTAACAGCTGGAAATACAGGCAAATTGAACTGTCATGTTATGCACTCCTAAAGTCAGGGTTTAAGATGCAACTTTACTTCAAAACCTGTTAGCAATTCAAAAAGGATAACACGAGAAAGAACTTTATTTGTCCTTATTTCTTGTTAAAACTCTCAGATACAGTGAAACAACTGAAAGTAATTCTATTGTAGAGGGAGAGGATGATAATATGCCATTGTGATATATGATATGATATATGATATGATATAACGAATTATGATATGATATGACATGATATTGTATGATATGATATGATATGTTATGATATGATATGATACGATATGATATGATATGATATGATATGATATGAAATGATATAATATGATATGATATGATTTCCACAAATCAGAACTGAACTGGGCAAAAATGTGTTCAGTTTTGTTGTCACTTCAGCGTGGTTTACTCTCCAGACTGACCTGAAATTGTCGGAATAAATTTCGCTGGAGGCATTTTGTTCAATCTTACATGACAGACTTTAGGAGACCATGAAACAGTGCCTGTGTTTTTAATTATGTTTCTAGAGGTCATTTTCTTCTTCTTTATTATTTTTATTATTAATTATTGTGATGTGTTCTGCCGACCTCTTGGCCAGGTCACTCTTGTAAATGAGATCTCAATCTCAACAGGTTCTTACCTGGTTAAATAAAGGTTAAATAAATAAAAAATACGATATGATATGATATGATAAGCTTTACCAAACCATACAACAAACCTAATTCCAGTCAAGTCGGGATGTTGTGTTAAATTTGAATATTAACATACAATGGTTTGTAAATCCTTTTTCAATTGAATACTCTACAAAGATGAGATAGTTCATGTTCAAACTGATCAACTTTAATGTTTTCTTTTTCGCAAATATTTACTCATTTTGGATCTGATGCTGCAACACATTCCAAAAAAAGTCAGGACAGGAGCGACAAAAGTCTGGGAAAATTGAGGATTGCTCTTATTACACCTGTTTGGATCATGTTTGGAACAGTTTCATTGGAAACAGGTGAGGGTAGTAACCCCCAAAAAGGCTCAGACCTTCACAAGCAAGGATGGGGCCAGGTTCACCACTTTGTGAGTGACTGCGTTAGCAAATGGTCCAACAGTTTAAACAGCGAGGCAATGTCAAGACACTTTCTGCAACGCTTTACAACAACAAGAGCGGGTATTAGACTGGCCTTCCTCCTAATTGAAAATGTGAGGTACATTATGAAACATACAGGCAGAGGAATCATTATTCAACGTCTGGAAAGTTCTGAAAATGTTTGACTACCCGCTTACTTGACATTTTCGATACAGAATATATGGAACAAGCAATGCAAAATGTGTTGTAATTGAAGTAATAGTTGTAAAAAATTCATGTTGACTCATCCTAAATGTTCTTTGTGTGTATAAATCTGCTTACACCGCCTGTGTCAAACTCAATCTGGGTCATTTGAGCTCAATCTGTGGGATTAATGTGTGAGGGTCATGGAGCTCAGGCATATGGTGAGAGTGATTAGACAAATCTGAAGATGAATCTGATTAACTACAACTACACCAAAAGAACCAAAGACCATACTAATCAAACACAGAAAAACAACATCTAATAAACGGATGAAGTCAGAATATCTCACCTACTGACACTAAAAGTTAGTCATAACCAAGACTTCCTCACAGGAGCTTTAAATCATCTATCAGCACTGATTTCTGCACTTTTGATCATCACAAGTTTGATTTTGACTCACAGCTGCTGAGTCACGCTCCTGTTTCCTCGTGTGAGTCATTTTCAATCTTTAGTTTCACTGTGTGGTATACAGTATGTAAGCCTGGATCAAAACAAAGGCACGGTTACAGGAGGATAAATCCTGCATGAACTGCTCGCTCATCTCTGTTACATTCTTCAGGTTGTTGAGGCTCAGAGGCTCGGAGACAAATGTGGCGTGGTTTTATCTGCGCTCTTCCTCAGTGGTGTTTATTTCCAGATAAGGGCACAGGAATAAAAATAGATAAATTTAGGCCTCGGTCCAAACACTTCTGTTTGGCTGCTTGCCTTGATTTCTCTTATTTCTTTCAACCATAATATCTTTTGATTTAGGGTCATTTTTTAGGCATCCCCACATTAATAATTAAAATAATTTCCCTGGACACATTAAGACCCCTTTAGGAGGGGGGCTAATGGTTTTCTGTAGCTCAGGGGATGCTGGTTGGCAGCTTACCTCAGAGGTCCATCATTAAAGTTTTATCCCTAAATTGCAGGAGTGACGACATTTCTGAGTATGGCAGGAGGTTGATGCTCTCTATTGTTATATTCTGCTAGGAGAACTTTCATTTTGATTTAAGCTTTTTGAAATGTAAAATTACTCATGCTAAGGTAATAATAGCATGAGGCCACATGAAAAACAGTGTCTAAAACTTGATGCATGCGTAAAAAGGGAACTTTTCTGTTTTAACACACCAGCACAGGCTGAAATAGTGACTAACTTTGAGTACTGAGAGCACCCTGTTTAATGAGAGTTCAGATTTTGCCGTGCTAGAACTACTGAGATATGGCATTAAAGCTCCTGTAAGGATATTTTTAACTTTTAAAAAAAGACTGAAACTCATATTAAAGCCTTTTTATGTTATATTAAAGCAAACAAGACCATCATTGACAAGATTAATGAATTTTTATTCTGTAATTTTTAGTATAAAAACTGTTGTGAGGGGGTAGGTGTCAAACAAATAACTGAATAGACAGCCCTGTTTTTACACTGTATTAGATTTTCACGGTAAATTATATTTCTACCATTAAAGTCAGCAGGATGAGATTAATATATATAGAGATGACAAGATAAGAGGAGACTGTTTTGCTTTGTCCACAGGGGGGCACCAAAGCTAATACAAAGTGAAAGTTTCTTACAGGAGCTTTAACCTGGAAATAAAAGACGCAGACGCTTTAATTGATGATTTTATCAGGAGATTTGTTCCATGTTTGTTTATTCGGTCCATGTATTTGTATTCATCACACACTGTCAGATATTGTGTCCCCCTCTGTAACAAAACGGTTTTCTTGGGCTGCTTTCATGAGAGCCCCATGCCAGTCTGGATGTCTCACAGCGGGAGGAATTAAATATCCATGAGAAAAAGCATTTCATCAAAAATTAATCTCTTTGCTGTTCTCAGGACCAGTTTGGTCAAGATGATTTGGTCTCTTTGGGGCTTAAAAATCCACTTCAAATGACAACAATACTTATTTATAGTACATCATGTCAGGCCAAGGAGGCCTGTTTTGTCCCACTTTAGAGCAGCCTTAAAATTAAATCTATGCCTATATTTATGATTTTTATGATGTCAATTTCCTTTTTCTTTTGTTTTCCTTTATGGCTTGATATTTAACCATTTTGTCTGGGTCTCTTTATAGACTGCTGGACTGATAATAGTTGCTGAAACTAACGTGTCATTTCTTATTTTCCAAAAATCCTTGAGTTAAAAGTATTTCTCCTCCCTAAATCTAAAGGCAAGTCACAAACACAACATAGTTAAATAATATTTAAAAAGAAAAACATGAATAGGACGGAGTGAAATAGCACTTAGTCTTTTTCTCTAAACATTTGTTTAAAAAAAATGTTGTATCAAAATCAAGGCTAAATTAAACGGGCCGAGCAAACAGAGAGTTTTTGGATTAGTATTATCGTATCTGGCTCGACACTATCTCTATGGCTCTTAAAAACCTTTATAATGACCAATAAAAACAGGCTCTTCAGTTCAGAACTGGCTAATCCAGCAAAACCCGGCACTATAGCCTGAGAGAATTCACAAGCTCCCCCACTGTTTGAAAGTGTTAACAATGAGACTCTAGATTGCAGATAAAAACACAAATATAAGGGCTCAGATTGTAAAGGCATGGCACTCCCAGAATCCAAACAGAAACTTAAGACAGGCAGGCACCGTTGAGGTAGAGGTGTGGCTCGCAGGGGAGGGCGGGGGGGGGAGCTAAGAAAAATGTGTTTCTTGTCCAGGAAGGGGGGTGTGAGGGGAAACGTGATCCACGAGGGAAAATACAGATAAGAGTCCACCCGTTTCTGTGGTTTAATCAACATTTATGTCGCACAAATTCAAATTTCTGAGTACATTGAGACAAAATAATTAATCTAATTTAAGGAGACAAATTCAGTGGAATTTAAAGTTAAGATCATGATTTATACCGTTTATAACTCCAGAAAATGTGGTTTATACTGTATGTTTGTATGTATATGTGTATGGATGTCTAGATTGGGCTGGACCAAGATGTCTGTGTCCTGATTTAACAGTTTCTTTGAATTATCAGCTTTCAGAAACGATCCTGCTGTGGGCTGAATGACTAAACCAGCGCTGATTTTTCGTTTCACAAAGTACATTAACAGCGTTCATTAACAGATGGAGCTTTCTGGCACAAAGTCATAAAGGCTGCGGGCGTCTAATTCACGCCACTACCATGAAATGCTCTTGTTCGATCTGACAGGAAAACAAGTTCATTATCTTGCCTGACAATTTAACTGGCTGAGAATTTTATTAGTTTTGTTCAATGCAATTTCATGTATCCTATTCAGGCTTTTTAGTGTATACACAGACGGTTACAACCCCCGTTTGAGTGAATATTCTTATTCAGAAATTAAAAGCTCTCTGAAGTTGACTTCTATTGTTTGTTTTGGTTTCAGCAGCTCATAATAAAAACTTGGCGACAGCTGTGTGAGACACCCAATGGCTGCTTTATTGTATATAATGCCGATACAGGATAATAAAACTGAGCAGCGACCTCCCCAGTGTCCACTTTGAGCTAACTTAAAGGTTGAAAAGGTCTCAATAGGCCTTGGAAAATGAAATTTTATTTTTTTCTCATTAATCCTTATAAATATATCCACTTAAACATGACTTTTTCTCTCAGTGGGTCTCAAATAAAGGGAAGGAGACTCTACTTAATTATAATTTTACTATGTTGATACAGGAGGGTGAATGAGCGCACTCAGATACGGTCTAATCCACAAAAAAAAACAGATGATAAGCAGGTGTTACATGCAGGTGTTCCCACTTTCAAGCTGTTGTGATTGTGCAATACTTTATCCATACTGGTGTCCTTAAGGGGCAGGGTGGAGGCATGTCTGAGCACTTTACTGTGTGTGCTCTATGTATGCTCTTGGTCTTAAAGAGCTGCATTTGTGTTGAGTAATACTAGTTCTGATACAAAACAAAGCAACAAGTGTTAGATATGTTTCTTCAGTAAAACTTTTAAAAGTTTACATCAGTTTAAAGCGTCACAAATCACATTGTGGAGTCTAAAAACTACACCACATACTTACAAAACTACAGTAACTTGAATAAATGTCCCTTTAAATGACAATAATAAGGCTATGACCTCCAAATTCAAGATTACACAGCTCCAGAATAGTGAAGCTATTATACCCTACCAGCAGGTGGCAGTGTAGTAAGTAAATCCACAAGGTCAGGATGGGGGACCAGTCTTTAAGAATTGATTTTTATGGGTTTTAGCTAATTATTTTACTAAAATACAGTTTGATACAATGCGTGTATGAACTTTTTGGTTTAAAGTAAGCATGTACTGTACAACTTATCTGGTTTTAAAGGGGTTTGGTTCAAGTGTTTACTCACACTTTACCTAAACAAGACTAAATAGAACATGAAAATATGTACTTATTGTATAGATTATGAAGATTTACTCTGACCTAATGCATGGTGGGTCCAAAAAATGATAGTACTACTAATGAATAAACCCTCCTTTAATTAAAATCAGTTATAAAATGTACAAGATGTGCTGAAGTAGTTTAATGCTTCACAAAAACAAGAGTATAGAAAGAAGATTGTGTACATAAGGAGGTATCAATGGCAGCTGTTTCACTGTTCTTAATCAAACACACCATTGCAAAGGTCTGAGCTCTGCTGTAGAACCAGCTACAGCTTATGGCACCGATTTAAAGTGACACTAGTGAGTATTAAATTTCTGGACAAGGTGAAAGTACAGTTTTCAACTTCAGACTACATAGCCACAGTTTTATCACCCAAAAGTCAGTTCTACTGCAAAAACAAGGCCTTGAGTTTGGCATTAAACCTAATTTAGCTTTTTAGAGCTGGATGTTAATATATTTGGAGGAGAGTAAAGTCAGAGAGGAATAAGAGATAGGCCAACAGCATATTATCAAAGCGGAACAGTCTACTCCAGTGGCTATTCATTACCTTAATGCTCCAGTTTAACCTTGTGTGTCCTCCATGGTAAAATTGTAATTGTGGGGATGGCTGACCACAGCTGTGTATTTATCAGACTGTAGAAGTGGTCCAAAGCTGAATCTCTGCTCCCTCACTTAAGTCAAGTGGCAGCTGGTGCATTTTATACTAGAGTCCAAAATATACATAGTCCAGATATAATTACAGATTTAGCTCCGGTACACTTAATGATAGAAATGAATGGAATTTATTTGCATTTGCTAACCCTAATCAACAAAGCGTTTCCGGGGTTAGGGGTCGATGATCCTTGATTGTTTTTATATATATATATATTTTCCCTGAATCTATTGTCTGCCTCTAAATGGAGGCGAAGGGAGTAAAACGTAGCATAAGCTTAGCATTGTTAAGTAATCCAGCTCCTTAAAAATGACTTGATCTACGACTCTGCTATTGGGATTAATTTTTATGTCCTCCTGATCAGGTCCAGACTCTTTAACTCTCAGCTT